ATGTCATTTGCTCACTACTAGTCTTTTTTTTTTACCACCAGGTGTGCAAAAACTACAGGTACATTTAATATATTATATTATTATCGGTTATCGGTATCGGTCTTGAGAAGCAGGAAGTTATCGGTATCGGTTTCAAAAACCCAATATCGTGCATCCCTAGTTATTATCTTGAAATGTGACGTTCATATTTTAAAAGGTACACATTTCATTGTGAGGTTGATTTAATATACACTAAGCCTCTCTTCAACAATACGTTGACGTTAGCTAGTCTATTTTATGCTATAGTAGAGCATAGCGAATTTAAATTAACCTTAACAATGCATACAGTAACAAACTAACTATCTAACGTACAAGGATGACCTTATTTTAGCAACCTCGCACAGAAGCCTTTTGGTATACAGTAGCATCCCACTTAATGTTTTACACTCTTGGATGCTACGCATAGCATCGTTAGCACAGATGGAGCTACGATTGCTCAAATGCTAACCCAACTCTAAACATTCATTAACGTTAGCTTAATAAAAACACCAGTAACATAACATAAAGTATGCAGGGTTGACTTACCGAAGAAACTGCATTCATGGACGGTCTGTTTTAACTGCAGATCAATCCTATATTTGCATGACGAATGCACCAGGAGCCAACACAACAAACACGGCCGAGTTCAAGTAGTGTTCTCCTCATGAGCTGAGCCACTGTAGCATCACGGAGCCAATGGAGCTAACGGAGCTAGCAGAGAGGAGCTAGGAGCAGCAGTCCCGTTGTCATGAAGGGGGAATCTAACTATATACAGAATATGTTTTTGTGGATCCAGGCTAGAAACATGTTCATTTTCTGATGTTAAGTTGGACATTTTAACATAGGGTCTACGGGAATTGCTCCCATCTGCATCCATCGCCTACAGTTTGCAGCATTGGGCTTCACCGCACTGTCGGTTTGATTGCATTCGGACTTGATTGCTTATCCTGTCTGAGTAGCCCGGATGATGCTGCATCGCAATTTTTGACATCGAATTTTATACACCGAATTTTTTGACATCGAATTTTAAACACCGAAATATTTGACGTCGAATTTTTTTCACTTGAATTTTTGGGATCTGAATTTGAACATTCGAATTTTTTTAACTTGAATTTTTACATTTTTATTTCACATAGGTAAATTCGGAGCAAAAAAAATTCAGATACATGATTTTCAAAGTAATTATTTTCAATGCTATAAATTCGGTGTCTGATACAATTCAAATACTTCTGTCTCTTGTTTGCTTCCATAAGTGAGCATCAGAAGGTCTCCCTCGACAAAAAGTCATGGGACTTTTCCATCAGCTTTTAGAATATTGCAGAATATAAAATCTGTGGCAAACACATGTTTTTTCAGCAGGATAATCTCTACATTTTAAAAACTCTTTATGATTTTTGAAGCACAAATGCATTCGGCAGATGTTAAAAGCTAACAATAGGCTATAAACAAGCTTCATGCCGGTCACATGGCTCATATCTGCCAACCCTACCGATTTGGGCGGTAGTCTACCGCTTTTGACATGTTTCTACCGCCTATACCGACTTAGCTGGCTTTCCCTACCGATTTTCAATCTTCCCAAACTAAATTAAAATGACACTACATAGACACTGTACTTTTGGCGGACACCGTTTGCAGCGATCGCATCATCTGAAAGAAAAACAACGTGCAGACCGGGGGTAGCGCTGCCTTTCCTCTGCACCCCCGGGGCTGATGGGTAATCACTCCCAAATGAGTGAGGGAACAGAGACGAGGCATTTGGTACTGCAGGATTTCCCCGTTAATATCAGTGTCTCGAAAACACATGGCGAATGAAAGACATCCAGTGTTCAGACCCGGCGGCAGACATACGTCTCTGGGCGGGCATTTGATTTACCAGGGCGGGCCCACCCCGAAATTCACATTTCCCGGGAAATCTCGAGATTTGTCAAGGGGGGGTGGGTTTAGGTTGCCATAAGGCTGTTGACGGTCTTATTATAGGCTACATCCATTGGTTGGTTTTGTGGCACATTTGTAACGCTGTGCCAACTTGGGCAAGCATGCAGGCAAACTTGAGCACACACAGAGTGGAGAGGTGAGTAAGGTTGAGCGATTGAGAGAAAGGGAGAGAGAGAGAGATTGAGCGAGGCAGAGAGCATGTGCAGCGGTCTGCTTGCGCACAGAGCAGGAGTTTGTGAGAGAGCCGGCTTGAGAGTCAATTTCTCTTCAAAATATAATTGATTGCCAGCCTCCCTTGTTCCTGGCTGGCTTGCTAGCTCGTTGGTAACTGATGTCTTCTAATGTGCCTGCATCTGGCGCTGAGTTGCCATATTCCTTTCAAGTGTATAAGTGTGAACCACTTCCTGATATCCATTGTTGCAGATAAATATAAATGATAATAGCCAAACTAACCTAGCAAGCGTAAACTGACAGTGCCGCATCTCACTCAAAAACCCACACGACTCAACCCAGCGAAAAACCAGTCTCGCGCGCAGCCTTTCATTCAGAATTTAATTCTGAATTTCATAGCATAATAACAAACATTATATTAAACTAATCTTTCAACATAGTTTAAAACAAAAATAAATATTAGGACAAAGCCCTACAAATAACAACAATAAACATAATCAGTGGCGGCTCCAGAGTGTTTTTGTTGGGTAATAGGGCTAACCCATACAGTGGTGGGGCTCAAGTCAGTATTTGCAATGTAATTACATACACGCTGAACATGATGAATTGGAAATGGGGGACCCTGATGTAAACAAGACGAAAGTCTTTCTCTGGTCTGCATCCCCTTAAAAATTGTATGTTTTGAGCTGTACTGTACTGTACCCAATATACAAGCTGTTAATAAACTTTTCAATCAATCAATCAATCACGCTCCCCTTGACAGTGAAACGCCAAGCGTGAGGTTTAGATTATTTCCCTGTCTCAATCCAAATTGAACTGTATGAAATAAAAAGGCACATTTGTGTTGTAGTAAATAAAAAGGACGACCAGCTGGAGCCAATCCTGCAATTTCCCCACAGGTGAAAGAGTTGACATGCTGAAAACCCAACCCCTGCAGGGGGGTCTGGGGGGGATTCTCCCCCAGAAAATACTAACATAAAATACACATTCTGGTACTCTCTTGAGAAGAAAAATAAATAAATCTATTACTACACGACATATTTAAAAAATGAATGCCATTTTAGTTTTTTGTTACTTTGTTCTGAAAGCTGAACCTGCTGCTCCTCACAGAGAGAAGAGGCTGTGTGAATGACTTTACATTGTGGATAAGGGTGGATAGCCCCCATTGTTCTGTGTGTCAAAATGAAAGACAACCCACACACCTATCAATCATCAAACCGTGGGGTCTTATTTCATTACGTGTTGGTTTCTATCAACACGTAATGTTGTATCGATGTATATAGAGATGTACTACAGCAAAAGTATTCTCCGTCGGGACTTCCTGCAACAACACCACGCCGTTATCGTGATTCTGATTGGCCAGAAGACATTATCAAAGATGTTCTATTGAGAAGACGATCACTACGTGACAAAAGTTTTCAAACCGTTTCTAGTCTTCGGTATTTACTGCTGTCTGTGCAATTTACTCCGCGCGAGTTGGTGGACTTTATTTAGCTTACTTTAAAATCATTTTTCATGGTGGGGATAAGCCATTTCTTGGTATGGCTGTAGCCTACCCCAGTATACCTTGGCGCCGCCACTGAACATAATAATAAAACAATTAAAATGTTGTATTCAGCCCTGATTAAAACAGCGGGCCCAAATCCTGGATGGGCGGGCCCAAATCCTGGATGGGCGGGCCCGGCCCCATGGGGCCCGCCCATGACGCCGGGTCTGCCAGTGTTTGGTCTTTTCTGGAAGCATCCTTCACCTACAGTGTCTCAACTGAAAGAGGACCACAAACACACAATATATAATAATATTTTGAGATTTGGGGATATTTATCTCCCATTCTTTCACTTTTTCTGACATGTTCAACACCAAACACGTCGTTAATGTCTCTGTTTAGTGAACTCCAGCAATCTGAAAGCCTGTACATTATTTATATCACACTTTATCAGTAGAAAAATGCAGGAAATGACTTTTTTAATGCAGTATTTTCTGATTTATGGCGCAACACAAAGATATTTCGCTCTGTGCAAACCTTTGACTCTAATATGTCAACAACATGAAACAAGAATATGAACCTGGCTTTATCCAATGTTCACACAAGAGTTCTACATCCTGACACATCCTTCATCGACACTGTTTCAACTGAAAGAGGACCAGAAGCTCATTACAAATATAATAAAATGTGGAGACTTTGGGATATTTATCTCCCATTCTTTTACTTTTCGAGCATTTTACAGACCAGACATGTCGTTGATGTCACTGTTTACCAAACTACCACTTTTTCTGAAAAATGCATAAAATGATGCAATATATGTTAAATACATGGTTTATACATGTAATTACTGGGGTTCCATTTCTTCTGATTACCTCGTTTGGGCGTGCACATTTGCCACGCGCAAACCTACCTCTTTTGGATTTGGAAAGGTTGGCATGTATGCATGGCTGCGAGTCACCACCGCTAAGCTAAAGGCAGCTAATGTTTGATGCATGTGATGATGTTTAGTAGTTTCATTTAGTCACTTGATTGCAACCACTGTTTTTAACACACATAAAAGCTTCCAACATTTACCAGTGGGGTATTCACTGATGTATTTTATGTCGTAGAACAAATTCTGAACATTTCTTAAGCGTCAGATTAAAAATATGACCCAAAAACGTTGCCTTTGAGACGTGGGAACCTGCCGTGAAACTAATTCCCTGGTTTTAGGACTCTTTCTTGCACCACTCTATTCAGGCTTCAAGTATCAAAAATGGGAAACAGCTTTAGAAAATAAGGCTGGTGTTATTCCAAATGATTCTTATTGTCCCAAAAAGCGATATCAACACTGCCTTAGTCCACAACTCAATACACTCTGGTTCCTTCTGAAGACATAAATATATATATATTACAAAAGCTCACAAATATATAGTTTATTATTTTCAAAGAACTGAACACATTAGTTATTTTTCAAACAGGAGGAAATAGTGCATTTGTTGGGGACTGCAGTATTTTCAGCAGCGGATTAATCCACTCTTGCTGCTCTGGTCGAGCCTCTTACAGTTTTGTGACCAACATTAGAGCTCTATGGCACAGAGAAATAAGATATTCAGTATCAGGTGTTGGATACACACACAATACTTGTTAGTGGATACATTCATTGTTGGTTTGGGTCTGCACATGGGATTTGTTGACAATAAGAAAAATGTAGAATGTCACCAACCGTATCATTTAACAGGGTTGTTAGCATAGGCAGTGATAGCCTCCATGGCTGAACAGACAGAAAAGGGCATCACCTGCAGAAAGTCAACCAACAAAACAATCCCAGGCTCAAGACATCTCGCTACTGGCTGCTCAGTTCAAACTGGCAAACCCTTTCTGGCTGGGCGGTACTAAAGCAGAACAGCAATGACTGCTGAGCACCAAAGAAGGAAACAATGACGAAAAGCAATTATTAGGCCCGGTCACACCAGAAAGGGCTCAGCTAAATGTATTGCAAGCCGCATTTAAATGAGTTTATCTTGCAGCTTGGTGATGCAGTAACTGTCTACAGGAGGATTTACCAAGCTCCTATAGCTGTTACCAATATGCCAAGGTGGAAACAGTAGGGCTGCAACAAAAATAATGTGTGTTGTTGCAAGTATATAAAAGTGTAACAGAGCTAACAAGCTATGATAGCCTCTTTTTTCTTTTGACAATCTGAACTTAATTTCCTTCAAAGATCAGCGTGTCAACACAATTCACTATTTGTTAATGCTTGATTTCACTAAAGTTGAACTCCTAACCCTGCGAGCTATTCCGGAAATGTTGCAGCTTCTATTGAAATCTGTTGATTTGCCACCTTAATCCCGGAGTGACCGGGCCTTTACAGATAACACTTTTGAACTACTCTCATGATCTAAACGTAAAGTCTCAAACTGATATGGCTGTGGATGGATTCTAGCGTTCAGACAGTGTTAGCTCTTTCTAAATCCTGACAGTACAGTGTATGGTGTATAGGCTCAGCATTGAGATTTTGGTGTCACTGGTTCCCTGGTTTCCCTTTAAGCTTGACAGCAGCAGAGGTTTTAATACGGCTGGGCGGCTGAGGGGCAGAGGAAACACAACCCGAACCTCATGGGACTGAGAAAGTAAAAGGCACTTCAAAAAATTATCACAAATTCCAGTGTAACTAGATAGACTATATATAGATATATACTGTATGTATACACAGGCATTGTCATATACGAAGGAATGCAAAGACAGAGTATAAACACTTGACTTTAAATACATATATATACTGTGCATATATATATACATATATACGTTGAATATCATAATATATAGGTAACATTTATTGATCGTAGCTGGCAATAATAGTAGCTTGAAAAAGATGGGGAGAGATGTGATAAAGCGCATTGTGGTTTTTAGGTTTGTTGAGGTTTTCGTGAGGGCAAAACTTGTGGCAATACGTTTCAGTTGCTGTGCACGAACTGAAGAGTTGCATAGGCAAGAAAACAAGTGGTTATTGATTACTCAGTTTACCCTTTAAAAGTGGTAAAGAATAAAGAAACCATTAGATAAACGTAAAAAGTTAAGTGAGGACAGTGTTCCTATCCAAATGGATAGTGAGATTGCTTAAACTTCTGTGAATCAAAAATAAAAGTTTTTGTCCTTTAATATCAAAGAAGCAAGAGTCAGTTCAGAGTCAGCAGCTTATTGTGCAGGGCATGATGGCATGGATGTGTTATAGACTGCAGCTGCAGTGCATGAACATGTGTCCAGGACAGCTACAGCTGGGTGTCCTGGTACTGGAAGGAGTTGGCGGTGTAGTATTCAGGCGCTGTCGCCTCCTCCACATCCTCCTCGCTGGGGCAGAAGGGACGCCCCTCCCTGGAGGACGGAGGAGTCTGGGGTCCAGGACGGGAGCTGGACCTGGAGGGACAGACAACAGCTGTGTTGAGTCCTGCACTCATAAAATCAACTTTATGTAGTTGCTGATTCTGATTTCACAACATCTGTCCACCACTTCAGACATAAATGTCTCAACAACTATTGGATGAATTGCGATAAAAGGTGTACAGGCGTTCATAGTTCCCACATGATGAATCCCAGTGACTTCACTGATCCCCATGTGAGAGCCACTTTAACACATATTCATGTCTGGGACATTTTTTTTATTTAGATGAAATATTCTTTGAATGTCCCCTGGGTGCTGTCGAGGTGCCGTTGAGCAAGGCACCTGTTTCAGCGCGGTGTGTTCGGAGCGCCGGCTTAGATCAGCCGGAAGCCAGAAAGCTGATCAGAATCAGGTAATGAGTCACTAAATAAAAGCAGGTAACCTGGTTCTGGTCTCTTGCAGTAAGCTGGGTCCTGAGAGGGGTACATGGAGCCCCCTCAAGAAATAGAGGACGGCTATATTGTTTATTATTTTGTGTGGACTATCTCAGTTGCTGCCACATGGCTATTTCTAATAACTTTGTTTGGTTTGCACAACTCGCACTCTCCTTCTGTCATGATCATGCATTAAACAAAACAGCATTTGAAACTATACTTACTATTCTGTAGCCTAGCTTTAAATTTAAGAGGACTTTTGAAACTAAATATCTTGATTTCTTCTTTTCTAAGGTCACATTATTCCGTGGTCTTACATCATAGACTTCATTTTTAACAGGAAACTAGTAATTGTAACATTTTAGATAAATGTTTAATGTAACCCTCTGAACCGGGTCATCATGCTGTAGAAGCTGCAAGGAAATGTGTATTTCCTATTCTTAGGCCTTAATTATATTGAGGGTAGTATTCTGTGAAACATTACAATGTATGCTCACTTTCCATTTGACATCCAGATAAAGTTATTTAGATAACTTGATTAGCTATCAGTGGACTATAAATCGGTAAATCAATATATGTATTTGAATAGGTCTAAAGTTAAAGTTGAAGCCATTTATTGATATTTATTTTCTCTTTATTATTTGCATTGCATTTGATATTGAGGTAATCCAAAAGTAATTTGAAAGTAATCAAGTTAAAGTACTTTATATTGTGATAGGATTTCCCCAACAATGCGAGCCTCTGTGGTATCGGGGGGGAAGTGGGAGGTTACACTGACACGCAGACAGCCACTCACAGCAAGGCGTATGGCAGTAGTGAGCCTACCCGATAGGCTGAGGGCGGCTGTGCTCCAGCTTGGCCGCCTTCAGAGGAACGGCGTAGATGTCGGGGTGCTTCTGAGCCATTTCCATCTGCAAACACAGATCAGTATATTAAAGCTTGAAATGACCGGGATCCAAACTAAAGTGCAGCTTCTACCTACAAAACTACTCTACTGAAATAGACAGACACACATCAGACAAAATCATCATCCAATCCCACTTCAACACTCAGAATGTCCGATTAGCCTGTAGTGCTCTCCATCGTCTGGTAATGTTATTGTCCTTGTCCCCATCATTGGTGTCCATTAGTATGTCTTGTTTATGTTAGACCTGCTTGTGTTTTCCTCATGTTTTGTATTTTATATCTATTCTTGATGAGATGTTGAGTTATAATTACACGATACATGAGTGATAATTAAGACATTTATTTTTCTTTGGTAAATGAAATGTACAATATACAATACAGCTTTATGTGTACAGCACTTTCAAACCTCCAGACCAAAGTGCTGTACAGAGAAATACCTCATTAAATAAAATACAAAAATCACTTTTGTACTTTTACTACAAAATCCATGTATTATTTACTAACTTAGTTTTAAAAGGTGCTATTCTTGAGAATAGGTGTAACTAAAGTCTGATTTAAGAGTTGATTATATTTCACATTATCAATCCAAATCTGTAAAATAACTAAAGGTATTAAATAAATGCAGAGGAGTAAAAGTACACGATTTACCTCTGAATTGTAGTTCAGGTCGTTGTTGTAGTGTAGTAGAAGTAAGAAGTAGCAAAACATTTAAATATTCAAGCAAAGTACAAGTCTCTCAATATTGTACATTAGTACAATATTTGAGTAAATGTACTTGGTTAGTTTACACCAATGCGTGTAAATCGCCTCCTGATACTACAGCTGGCCAATAGGAACAAAGAGCTCTGCCCACCCTGGCACTCTGCGCCTCCTGCAGCTCCAGGATCCTCTGGGCCCGGGCGAAGTGATCCATCTTTTCGAAGGCCTTGATCTTCCCATAGAAGGACCTGAGGGAGGGGTCCTCCCCAGGGCTGTCTTGCGCCGCCTCCTCCTGCTGCCTGCAGGCTGCCAGGGCACCGGAAAGAGCCCCGGGGGGGTGCACTGTAGCCTCTGCAGTGCCCCCACAACTGCTGGACCTAAGAATTGGGGGGGGTTGAGGCGCTCCCACAGGCCACATTTTGCTGCAGGAGTTAAAGTGGTGAGCCGGAGGCAGGGGCAGCGGGCCGGAGGAAGCTGCTGAACGGGGGATGAGTGGGGGTGGGTCATTGTTGCTGCTGGCCGGGCTGCTGCTGGAGGGAGAATCGTAACTTCGGCTGGAGCTGGGGGGTGGAGGGTGGTGCTGACGGTGGTGATGGTGTGGGTTAGTTGATCCTGATAAAGTGGCCGGATCGTCCCTCAGAGACAGTTTCACCTGGAGAAAAAGCATTAGAGCCAGAGCAGATACTCAGAGTTAGTGGTGGTAACAATCGGACTTTTATAAAAGACAATAGAAACCAAGCAGAAACGTCATAATGCAGCCATACTGAGACTAGAGGCACTCAAACAATATGAGCTCCTTAGCTTTTAGTAATTCTCCATCTCGACCACAGCAGGTGGACATACTGAGGGCTAAACTATTCTGTCAGCAAGAAAGGAAATGTATGAGGTGCTGGATGATGGTAATCATTTGCCATTTTTGCAGAATGCCAGCAGTGGTGTTTGAGGTTGTCGTTGCTGTGATATGATGTCACATCTGGTAGATCAATTAAAGTCATCAGCAGGGAAGAAGATTCTAGAAATGTAGTAAAGGATACTAAAACTGGAGAAATTCCAAGAAGTTTGATACCTTCTCGATACGAAGTTTAAAAACTAAACTAAAACAATAAACCCAATGTACTCAATATACATCAATTGGACAGGATAAAAAAGATGAGTTAATGTTGAGCTCCAGGACAACAGCTATGGGATGTCAGCTAGGCAAGGAGAGATGACAGTTTTTGATTGGGGGATGAAAAGAAAAGCCGTCTACCTAGCTAGGAGAAGCCACACACAAGTACGAGAGTATCCTTTATGTAGTGGGAGAAGAGGAAAGGGCCAAGGACTGAGCCTTGATGAACTCCTGTTGTCAGGCTGCATGGTTTAGACATCTATTCCATGTCACCTAGGAGAACTCTGACCCGTAAGGAAGGATGCAAATAGACAAAGTTCAGTGGGGTGGGGAGGAAAGCTTTGAATTAAGTATTACCTCCTGAGCAGAGTCCATATTTGGTTTTAGAAACGTGTTCCCATAGAGAACAGTGGGAACAAAGAATTCCATGTCATCTATATGTTACAATATGTTATATTATTTGTTTGGTTATTTCTCAATGGATACAAATATTCACTAACAAATCTACATCCTAAGCATTCACACCTAATATTCCGCTTCTCTGGTGCGCACCAGACCACAGTTTGTTACATTGTTTCATTTTTCAGAAGGTTAGGTTTGCGTTCACACGGGACTATAAACTTTAAACACAAGTCATGTGCACGGAAATGCTGTTCAACCATTGGTCAGACATTAAGGGGTTAAACACGCAAATCCCGGCAATTTCTACCAGAGCCTCCGCCATGGAGCATCGGCACTTTCGGCAGGTTATTCTCAAACTGCTGTTAATCTGGAGATCAACAGACTCTATCGACCCGTGCATATGATTATATAATCAGACAACGTCCGTTAAAAGACATTATAACATAATGAGAGACGTTCGGCAGTAAGGAGGGGCGTTTCACCGACGACAGGTGTTCTTACTTTTATGTAGCTGACGGAGAATTTTTACTTTACACGACACTGTTCAACACTTCATTCTGCTTCACTCTTTAACCAAAAAAACGCGGATGTCTTAAAAGACTCTTTAGCTAAAGACAGGGACGTGCACAGACATTTGGAGGGGCTATTGCTCTAAACTGGAAAAAGGGCCCCCCCCCCGAAAAAAAACACAAGACCTTTTGAAAATTGTAACGTTTTTAATGTAAAAGAAACCAAACGATTAATACATCAACTAAATTGAACAGTAATTCACATCTCATAACAAAATAAGCTAAGGCGACTACTTGCATTCGGTGACTTGATTTTAAAAATGTTTTGCGGTCCATATCTCATGAAAATATCTAATGTTAGTAACTATTAACCTGTTAAGCCCCGAGCCTGTTTTTCAGGTCTCAGGCTCGAAAATGACATTCCCAGAACCAATGACCATATCTTCCCTTCTAAAAGGGTTCAATTAATAATCTTTTTTTCTCAAAGCAAGGTTACACCTGTGAGTTGGATGTAGAAGTGTCAGAATCAATATAGATGTTTTTATTTTAAAGTAAATTCAGATTGAACACAGTAAAAAAATGTAAATGATTGAGTCCGTCCAAAAAAAAAAAATGACTTATAGTGAAAACCACTCTTGAATGATGGGATGGTAGACTAAAAGCTTTAGGGATCCAAACTAAAACATATAATAAGTACCCTGTATCAAGATTGATGCAAAACAAGTGAAATGTGACCTTTTTAGAGAGATTTAGCAAAAATAAAACACTTCTGGGGTCATTTGGGTGGATTTGACCTATCTCTGGCCCCCCTTGCTCGATTTTGCTGATTGACATCTCTTTCTAACCGTCAGAGCCAATGGAATTGAGGGGAACTCCCACATACTCCTTATTTGGTAATGTGTGTGTGTGAGACTGACGCATAACCGGAAATTGCGATAACTCTGGTGAATACCATTAGCAGCTAACTTGCACTCTCCGATTATAAATAAAAAAAATTATTCCACAGAAACATTATCAACCTATGGATTAACCGATTCAGCTGGGTTTTTTCTCATTTTAATGCCATTGAACAAGTCTTTTGGTCAGATTGACAGCTAAGGTGAGACGATCTCCCGTAAAAGCTACGTAAAGGTACGTGTTGTGATGTCTGTGTTTGCTTCCCCTGTCGCGAGTTCGGATCACTCAGTGATGATACTATATACCTAAATAATCTGTGGAACCTCAGCTTTAATCGGATATCTTGTATGTGCAGCTACGATAAGTAATAAGGGTATCTTTTATCTTGAGTTCTGTGCCAAAGTGTGTTAGCATTTTTCGCTCAGGGGTCATTTAGATGCTTCTTATGAGACTTGTGTTTTGGTAAAAATGGTTTGTATCGTCAGTTAGCTGAGATTATTCCCGTTAATCTGGTATAACACATTAATAGGTTCTTAAATATTAAGATCCCCCAGTGTCGTGAAAAAAAAAAAAAAAGTACGCGCCGATGGGGACCTTGGGGCTTAACCAAAATGGGGACAATTCTGTTCTAATGTAGTTTGACCATTATAACTGCTGTGCAGGACATACTGATAAAATAGGGCCTCTAACTAATTACCTTAAATAAACTCACTAATGAATGAAACCAGTTCAATACGCATTATTCTTATTCTTATCATTCTTTATGAGCGCAGTGTAAGGTATCTAATTACTTATTTATTTAGTGTTCCATAACTTAATAACAGAGATGGTCAAACTAAAGTAGAGACATGGCAGAATTCCTACCATGAAGCGGGACAGTGAACTGTTCACCCGTGAGAGGGCGATCAAGAAAAGAGAGCGAGCGGCCCCGTTGAGGGAGTTTACAGATGAAGACATAGAAAGACAGAAGCACAATAACAACAAGTAGGCTATATTTAGGTGTTTTTTGTAAATAACCGACGGTATCAAGAGGAAGTAAAGTCCCCTGGGTTGTCCCTTATACCCTAACTGCCATGAGAGAACTCAAAATCAAGTTTCCAAAATCCGACACTGAGGTGGTCTTAACGCACCGGCAGATGACAGCGCTGACAAAGTGTGTTTCCCGCAGTGAGACGCTACAATACTAATTGTGGGCTCATCATGTTGATTCGGCCACAACAGAAAAAAGAAAAAGAAACTCTCGCTCTCTCCAGAGGGGCAGGTCAGCCAAAAATGCCAAACGGGCCATTGCCCGGGCAACATTAGCCCGTACCTGTGCACGTCCCTGGCTAAAGATTTTGAAGACATCCGCGATCTTGTGACCTGTAAATACTACGCTTCCTATGTTTTGGTGCGGACTGCGTTCACACCAGCAATTAACCGCTCCAGAGTTCGCAAGCAAGCGCTCCAAGACCACCTATTTTAGCAGACCAGAGTCCGGTTGTTTAGTTCACTTAAGAGGTCTCGGATTGTGTTCACACCGACCCAAACGAACCGCACCAAGCGGCTAAACGCACCAGGGTTCGATTCAACCGGACTATACAAGGCAGGTGTGAACGCACCCTTAAAGAGGACCCATTCTGCTGATGTTCAGGTGTATATCAGTCTGTAGTGTCTCTACTGTGACATGTCTCCTTGCTTTAATGTTCAAAAAGCTCGTTATTGTTCTCATACTGCCTGTGCTGCAGCACCTCTTTTCACCCTCTGTCTGAAGCCAGAGCCCAGTCTGCTCTGATTGGTTAGCTGGCCGGCTCTGTTGTGATTGGTCAACCACTTAGAGATGTGTGTGAAATGTCCTGCCCCTTAGCCTATCACGTGCAATGTGTTAAAGCGCTAGCCAATAGAATCGCAAGTGTAACATATTGATGTCAGCATGTCCAATGGAGGCGTTTCAGTCAGGGGGGGAGAGAAACTCCCTCTGGAGGGAACACAGGGATTTTAGTCTTTACACACCATTTACATGCAAAAACATATATAACACACTACAGGAGAGGGAAAATCCCAAAAGCAGAACAGGGCCTCTTTAATATTCCACAAATAAAAAAACTGTATACTGTATTTATTAAATATAATAAACTAGTGGGTCAGCTTCAGTGGTAGTCTGGGTTGTGGGAAGCGACGGTAAATAAAAAAAATTGGGATTTGGGTTCAGACACAAAACGTTGCCTATAAGAGAAAGCACTAAAAAGACAAATAAAGAGAAAATGTTTTCATTCCAACCAAACTACATCTCCTCAACATTATTCCCTGTTTACTTGGAATAGAGATTCATGCTAATCATTGACATATGCTGCTGTGATGTATCGTTGGAATGAAAACATGAACACAGTTTAAAGTCGAACACTACCGCTAAACACAAGCCCACCACCATGTACCAATAAGTGAGGGGAATTCTGGGTACCCATCTGGTCCACTGAGCTGACGTCGGAGGACTCTGAGCTGCAGTGAGAGTGGACTCTCCATATCAGGCCGTTCCTCAAAGGGAAGGGCAGCTTGTTCCTTTGCATGGAGGTAAAGAGCTGCCAGGGCGCATGTGGAGGTTAGAGTCACAGTTGCTAGAGGTGGCCAGAATTACCGTTTGCTTTAAAAAAAAAATATGTATCTTTTATCATTAAGATCATAATTTAAACATTTGTTTTTGTGAAATGGAAGTGTTAAAGATCTCTTACATCATTGTTTTGACCGCTCCACAATTAAAACAGAGCTTCATTTTAAATCATAGGACCTCCAGTATTGTAACCAGTGTGATATAAGTCAACTGAACTCTTCCTGTTTACAAGTTATCCAATTGACTTTGATATCTTTACAAACTTTTTTTTAACCATTAGTTTTACTCTGCATTCAATTATTTGTTTTGGCCACAAGGGGGCAGAGCTAGGGTTAGCTTCAGCTGACATGTTATCTTCTGTCAAATGCTGCCACTTTACAATATGATATACTGTGAATTGTGATATTCTTATTGTACTGACTTTTTTTTTAATATATATGGTTAAAATGGTTACACATGTGTTCCTATTTACAACTCATTTCCTCTTATAGTTTTTTTTTAGTATGCACCACTATACGCCAAATCTTCAACCAATACATTATTTTAGCTCTTTAGCTGCTAAATGCTCCACTATGTTAACCTGTGTGCAGTTGACACTATGAGCAACACTGCTGTATAACCATGTTTCATTTGAACCCACAGTATAAACACACTGTAAACGATTTCCAGCCAACATAAATGTCAATATGATGAGGAGATAGAAGATATCTGCAAAAGGTGGGGGCTGGCTGATGGAGTTGAACTGTGTTCTTGTTGTTCACTGTTAACAATAACCCTACACTCCGACATTTGTTTCCTAGGCCAAAACAGTATGAATAGGGCAAGTATTAAAGAGGACATGTTCTGCTCATTTTCAGGTTCGTATGAATTTAGTGTCTCTACTGGGACATGTCTCCATGCTTTAATGTTCAAAAAGATCTTTATTTTTCTCATACTGCCTGTGATGCAGCACCTCTTTTCCCCCTCTGTAAATGGTGGTGGGCTTGTGTTTAGCGGTAGTGTTCGACTTTAAACCAGAGCCCAGTCTGCTCTGATTGGTTAGACGTACAATGCGTTGGAGCACTAGCCAATAGAATAGACGAGTGATACATAGTGAGGTCACTATCTAATTTTACACCCATTAATTTCCCTGGATAAGTGATTAATCCAGTTAATGTCCAACAAATAGCTAAAATACCTTGTTTGACCAACAGTCAGAAGAAAGTATCAAAGAAAGTATCTTCTTATCCAGGGAGGTTGTGGCTCAGTGGGTAGTGCGCTGATCTTCGGATCACAGGGGCACTGGTTTGAATCCCGCTGCAGGCAACATTCCACTGTGTCCTTGGGCAAGACACTTCACCCCAAATTGTTCTTGCGGGGATTGCCCACAGGATTGAGTATGTAAGTCGCTTTGGATAAAAGCGTCTAACAAGTAACATGTAATGTAATGTAATCCTCACAGTTGGATTGTATTGCTTTAGGATGCAGAAGCGTGTTTCCTGAGGTGTGTGTGTTCCCACTGTGCATATATACTGTGTGTGTCTTACCTTGCCGTCTGGTGAGAAGACAGGTGGAGGACTGGACCTGCTGAGGACTTCACGGCTGCTCAGTTTCCTTAAGCGACTCCGGATGTCTGGACTGTACCTGCGCAAGATCTACACGCACAAACACATAAGAATTCATAAAAAAAAGGATGTATTAAGACTTTTGTTGGTAATTTGGTGTATTTATTACATGTGTGTCCATAATAACTGTGGACATATAATTACAATAGAGAATGCAATACATTGAAGGTGCAGACTTTGTATTCACTGGTTAACTATAGAGCAGCTGTACAGAAGCTACTGGAGCTGCATTCTCCTGTCCGCACTGCAGGTGGCAGCAGCATACTAAAGGCAACACATACATGTCATCATAAAGCCCTTAACACTTTGCCAACACAGTGAAGTAGAGCTGAAGATACAAAGAATTAAGAAGATCAATGCATGACTATGTTGATGAATAACAAGTCATTTGAACAGGGACAATGAGTGAGCCTGATGTCAGCTAAACATTGGAGCGGTGAGGCTGTATCCATAGGCGGTGCGTGAGGCTCAGGTTTGGGAAGGCTAAATAACTATTTTTTACCTGACGCTGCCCGCCTCTGGCGTCTATAGAAAAGAGATCAACTCAGTGAAAGCACCGCCTGCTGACCAATCAGAGCTCAGTGTGCGGAGTTTAAATCTATCAAGTCATATTACAGGATAAACGAAATAGTTTAAACTGCCGTATGCAGAGAAGACGCCAACGTGTCGCTCTTATCATTCATATCACACTGACATCACATCATCAATCAGATCATCGATCATAATATCACAATATTTCCTTATCTGAGTCAGCTTCTCGAGCCGTACCTTACAGTGCACATACTGTATGCAGAAGTATTATTTTAAGCAACACATTAAGTTGACGAAACACTCAACTCAAATGTAATTAAAGTCAGATCCCTTCGTGTTTTAGATGGGGCAGTATCATAAAACTGTTGTACGCTTTCAAACACTCGGTAGTTATTTTTTAACGAGTTGTTCTGTATTCTCCTTGCAGGTGCAACTATGTGGCTTATCCTGGATTATATGTTTAAGTCATCATGGATGTTTAAAGTTCATATTTGTCTAATATTAGTTTACTTTTCATTAATGAAGTATGACGCTGCGCTGTCAGTACACTTGTCCCTGTTTGTGATTGGTCAAATGTAGCTAACCCCGCCCCTTTCACGTGAACGCGCTCTCAGCTGGAGAGAGAAACCCTGGGTTGATTTACCGAGTTGATAACCAGCGCCGTAGGACCGCTTAGCGAGATCTTGTTTGTTTGGGTTAGTTAAGATAACTCAAGCATATCCAGGGTCTGTTGAACTGGCTTCGTGGTACAGGGCACAGGTGGCTGCATAGCAGCGCTAATGTCAAAGACACAAACATTATACATTATATTTGTATTTTACCAGGATGCAGTGACACAAATATTTGGGAAGGCTTAGCCTTCCCTAGCCTACAGTACCCGCCGCCCCTGGCTGTATCCCTCCGCCGGGCTAAGGAGGGCTAATGATGAGCAGAGGGGAGAGTAGCATTTACTCCAGCACTGTATTTAGGTCAGTGCTCACATTGAATCCCAAATGTTAACTACCCAGCCTGAAGTCATGCTGCAGGTACAGACCCCTGATCAGCTGACAGAGGATCCTGTCGAGGTAAATATCCCTTCTCCTGAATATGTTTGTCCCATGAATATGAGCAATATCAGGTATCCTGTACTATTTTGTATCCTTTGTTTCTTTCTTTTTTATATATTATATTTGTTATTTATTCAGTAAATATATTCTGTATGAATAAATATGAATAAAATAATAATAATATTGTTTTAAATATATGTATTTTCTCATGCTGAAATGTATATATCCACTTTTTTTCACTTTAACTTCAACAATGCCTTGTTTGAGAGGACATCTTAAGGTAATTGTCAGGTTCCAATTTGAATGTAGTGCTTCCACTGTGTCCGTTTAAAACACACAAAAAGTTAGAGGACATTTCATACAGTACAAATGATTCTGTTAGAAGCCCATGGAAACCTAGGGTATACTAGTGGAGGTTTAAGTACATCAAAGTTGTACTGCAAACTTTATTTCACTTTTTTCAATAGTATAAAAGGGAAATAAGCCACTCCCTTGGTTGTTAAATATCAATATGGCTTTATTAATCATGTCTGATCTTTGGTGTTGTCAAATGACAAAATGAAGTCATCTTTAAAATATTACATGTGTGACTGTTAAGACTATGTAAACTAGACCGATAAGTGTGTGTGTGTGTGTGTGTGTGTGTGTGTGTGTGTGTGTGTGTGTGTGTGTGTGTGTGTGTGTGTGTGTGTGTGTGTGTGTGTGTGTGTGTGTGTGTGTGTGTGTGTGTGTGTGTGTGTGTGTGTGTGTGTGTGTGTGTGTGTGTGTGTGTGTGTGTGTGTCTGACCTCCTCAGCTGTGACGGGTTCAGACGAGCGGCTGATGGCTGAGATGTGCATCATCTCCACATCCGGCTCGTTGTCGGTGTAGGTCCCGCCCTCGTCGGCGGTGTCTTCGAGGTCAGAAGTCAGCCGGCTGTCCATGCTGAGGTAGTCAGCGGACATGGCGGACAGGAAGGACAGACGCTCCACGTCCTGGCAGTCCAGATCACTCTCTACTACCTCCAGCTAGAAGAGACACATGATGGATCTTGGGTGCACAGGAAGGAAGGATGGACAGACGGAGAGCACGAGAACAAGAGAGAAGAAAGAAAGACAAACAGAGCCGAGCTGTAGCACTACTGGCAGGAAGTAGGAAGACACACAGTGAGCATGCTCAGAGCGCACACAGGTGGCTGCTATGCAGGTGACAGGAAGATAGTAGGTCCACTACATACTCCTGCCACTGAAGAACAACTGAGAAACCACCGGGCTGAAACTAATGCAGTCACAACAGTCCTGTAACACTCCCTCAGTGTGAGCTGGAGCTGCTTTAGGATCACTCATCACGAGGACGATGTAGTCTGTGTTACTGGAAGAGCTTGAATTCAAATGTCCTCTATCATTCAAATGTAACATTCAAATGAAATCACGGGTCCAGCGTTCCATTTTTTAGAAATCTATTAGTATATGTATTTATTATTAGTTAAGACAAGTAATAAATGTTGATTTGAGAAGTAAAATAAATATGCATCAGGGTAGAGTTGTCAGTTGAATCCCTTTGCCATGCTCTAGCAAAGCTCCTGATTTTATTTTTATTTTAAATTATATTTCTTTACATTGTTTTTGAAACCTTTTTGTCTTTGCTAAGTCTGTTTTCCAGTCCAGGAAAGCTGAGATGTTACATTCTACATGTTTGTACAAAGGACTGAGGCTAAAGCCATATCTACATTTCACCAAAACCACATTTTTAAAAACAAACATTTCTGATTAAATCCGGATCATTTGAAAGATGCGTAAATAGCATGGAAATGACTAAATGGGCTTTTAGTTACCTTGATATCACTGACTGGTGTTCACCGCAGAGGCGTGTGTTGGTGTGCCTGTATATCTATCTTTGTGAGAACCTGTTTGAATTGTAGACCTTCAAAGTGAGGACATGAGTGACTGGTTCTTCAAAGGTCTTCCTCTTTGATCTTCATTTTAGAATGAAGATCAGGGTTAGGGGAGGGGTCATCAACCTTAACTATCAAAAGAGCCACTTTCCCCTCTGCCACCAAATAAAGTTTGTGGAGAGCCGCTTAACATATTTTAAAAGAAAGATATATAAAAAACGAGTTTGTTGCATCTGTTAAATATTGACAGTGTATTGTTTTCTGGTTTGCTAATTTCTCAGAATATATCAAGCAAAGGCAAAAAGGAATCTATACAAGCAGAATTAAACTCTGTTTCATTTGTGACTTTTTTGGACTGATCAATGGTCAGATTTCCAAGGCCGGGCGTCTTTAACTCAGAATTATTGAACAGAGGTTAGGGTAAGGGGCTAGGGAATGTATTTTGTCAATGTCTGTCCTCACAAAGACAGAAGTGCAGGTGTGCCTGTATTGTGTTTGTTTGTGTTTTCTTACCTTGCCGTCAGAAACCCACACCGCCTGCATCTGCTGCCCTCTGATGGAGTCTTTGACGCTGCCGTACCAGGCGTCGTTGGCTGAGTTCAGATCAACGGTGGCTGAATGAGAAAACCATCCAACCTCAGCATTAACATAAAAATAAATAAATAATGACAAATATACAACTAGAGCTGCATCAGTACTACTGTAATACACTGAGGCGGAAGAAGTACTCAGATCTTGTACTTAAAGGTCACCTATTATGCAAAATCCACTTTTTCATGTATTTTACATCAACATGTGTCCCCTCTAAGAGACTCTGAACGTTTCAGGAACAAAGATTCTCTCTCTTTTTGTCCTGATCCATTTATATTAAAACCTGTCTGAAAATGAGCTGATCAGATTTTGGCCACTTTATGATGTCATAACGATGTGTTGGCTTGTGTAACCATTCGCCAATCACCAACCAAGGTAACCCCCCCCCCCCCCACCTTATCACCTGAATCTCCTCCTAGAGCACGATTGTGTTCTTCTTAACCAAATCTCTCTCAGAGGGGCGTGGGGAGGGGCTCCTTATTTTCATCTAAAGCAGGGGTGGGGAACCTGCGGCCCCAAATTGGCCCTCGAGGTAATTTATAAACACACGCAAAAAAGAAAAAAATTAAAGAAATCTAGACCGCAAAATAATTAAACAAGCGAGTGCCTGTTTTTCCTGGCCAAGGTCAGGGTCCTTGAACATAACACAAGCCTAACGTGTCATCACGTGGTATATGTCTCGTCTGACAGGGGTGTAGTTCTGACGGAGAGCACCAGAACGCAGCTCCGCTCCGGCACTTCAGAAAATTGCAGTACCCATAAGGAGCCGTACACATGCTGCAGTTTCTGCGTGGCTGTGTCTTTAGTTGAAAGCCCAGTGGCGATCTGTTCATCTGTCATACTGAGCATACAGTCAATAACTTTGTTGTTATTAGCATCTGGTTAGCTAGCTATGCTAACGAATATAAGAAGCTTTTTCTACAACCAGTGAGGTAGGCACATCTTTACATGATCATTATAGTTATAAAAAAACAAGAGAATAAAGTAAACAGGTATAAAATACTATATGACAGTAAAAAAAAGTTGTTATTAATAAACAAGAATACAGTTTAAAAGGGGAGTGATTTGTAAAATATCCATAAAGAAAAAGAAATCTGTTTACAGTTCTGTTTCATATGGGTGTTGAGAGATGTATCCATAGAGCTCCTAATGTTGCTCTCAAAGTGCAAAAATCTTCATGTCCACATGGATAGGAAACTAAATACATTTGCACACATCTTGTGTCCATATCTTTCTGTTTTGGTGGTCATGCCACACCGTGCACGTGAATGCATGCGCGAGTCAGATATCTGGATTAAGAGGTTGCTTTTTCTTTGCACACAATGAAAGAAAGGCAAAATGAGTGGGCTGTGATTTTAGTATTTTTAAGCAGAGGTCAATCATTTGTACGGCCCTCGGAGGATGTTGAAAACATTGAAATGGCCCTTGAGAGGAAAAAGGTTCCCCACCCCTGATCTAAAGTAACAGACAGAGAATCAGCACTTTGGAAACAGGGCTGAAACAGAGGGAATTATGGGTAATGCTGCAATGATCTGTTTGGTGTTTGGAGCCAAACACTTCAGAGACATGTTTTGTGTACATCTGAGACCTATAATGTATTGATGAAAAACAGTATAATAGAGGACCTTTAAGTAAAAGTAGAAGCACCAGAATGTAGGAATACTCTGTTACAAGTAAAAGTCCTGCATTGAAAATGTTACTCAAGTAAAAGTACAAAATCTAAATCGTATTTAAGTACAGTACTCGGGTAAATGTACTTAGTTACTTCCCAACTGTGTTAATACAGCTGACCGTGGGTGTGAGGCTGTACCAGTGAACAAGTGAGCGCAGGTCTTCCTCAGTTTGACGGCCTGTTCGTAGAGTTTGCGGGCGCTGCGATTGGAGTTAGGGGCGATCCTCTGTCTCATGGTCTTAATGCCATGCTTGCTGTCTGGGTTGAAGAAGATGACAATGGGGTACCACTGGGTGTAGTTCAGGGTGTCCACTGCCTTAGGGGTCACATCCAGCAGGGCGTGCTTGTCCTTTGTGGAGGAGGAATGGGGACACAATGGTTAACAGGCCTAATGGGGTCCTTGTCTCACCAGACAGGCCGTGGATCAGCTCAGATCTCTCATGTCTTTGCCAAGGAGGTTCATTTCTCAGCTCAGTTTGTGTGACTGTCAGCAGGATTACAGAAGGGTTACATTTGGCACACAAGTGGTGATAACAAAGAAAGAGTTACTTTGTGCCTTGTATAGCTTTTGTGGATGTTACTTTTAAACAATCTGTCTCTTTCTTTTTAATGCTTGATTTAAGTGTTTTATTTTGTACTTGTATCTGTGCTTTCTTCTGTCCCTGGCCTACAACAGTACATCAATAAATATCATCTTAATAATGGAGTGTGGGTGTATATGCCAGAGGTGGGGACTCGAGTCACATGACTTGACTCGAGTCAGACTCGAGTCGCATATTTTTTGACTTGAGCCTTGCTTGACTAACATTGATAAAAGACTTGACTTGACTTTGACTTGGTATTCATGACTTGAGACTTGATTTAAGCTTGAGATAGATGACTTGACAAATTAAATATTTGCGTTTGTTTTTGTATTGAGATATTACGTTTAGTTTTTTTGAAAAACGTGATTATAGCGCCATGCGCGCAAACCTGGCAACCAACTAAGGCAGGAGTCTCAGACCGTTTCTCAATCGCGAGTGTCACTGCCCGATCGGTACTGCGCATGTGCGAGATGGTCCGCCATATTGGACAACTCCGGACGGCAACCCAAGATGGACATAAAACGAGAGAGATGAGTTATTGTTATTACAACGTGACTTCACTATTATTTAACAACTCTTTTTATTGGGTTCTTTTATTTGGGGTTAAGTACATTGTCAGAATAAGTGAGAAGTTAATGTAACTTCTGTTGACAGCCATATGCCATACATGTTTGCATACATTCACAGTAAATATTTATTCAGTATGATAGCTGTCTAACAGAAGTTAAGAGAGAGAGAGAGAGAGAGAGAGAGAAAGAGGGAGAGAGAGAGAGAGAGAGGGAGAGAGAGAGAGAGAGATAGAGAGATAGAGGGAGAGAGAGAGAGAGAGAGATAGAGAGAGAGAGAGAGAGAGAGAAGAGAGAAAGAGAGGAAGAGGGAGAGAGAGAGAGAGAAAGAGAGAGAGAGAGAGAGAGAGGGGGAGAGAGAGAGGAAAAGAGATGCCTCGTTGATTTCCCCTGTGTTGTTATCAGAAGTTACTGTAAACTGTTGAATAATGTAGTTCATCTACTTTTAGTAGTTTGTTTAAATGTTTTAATGATGTTGTTTTTGTTTGTAGAAGTGCATCATTCCTTGATTTATTGTAAAATGAATCTGAACTTTTTGATCTGCTATGATGATAAACTGAAGCAATTTCTAAATTAACCCAATTAAGTGAGTTTTAAATATCGTCCTACTTATGTAGTTTATAAGGAAATTATAACAAATAACAAATGAAATGATTTGAAAATGATATCTATGTAGGCGCTGACGCTGTTGGCGGTTCTAGTGTTAACAGACATTTTAATTAAATATGTGTAAAATTAGCAAATGCCATATATGATTTTCTTACCTGGAATTCTGCCTTTTTGAACAGGCTTTTTGAGTCCTAGCTATATTGTCTGCAGTTCTAGGGTTAATATGAATCTAATATGATTGTCATCGGTCTAAATTAGATTTCAAATGATTAACTGTGTATGTAATGAAGATCATAGTGTGGGTTGAATCCATTTTCATAACCACTGTCTTTTAACTGATGCGGAAACTGGGCTTATTCATCAGAATGTCGTATGACTTGACTTGACTTGACTTGACTCTCACCACAGTGACTTGGGACTTTTTGATACTTGTAGGTCAAGCCTTGAGATGTGCTCATGACTTGCACATGTAGGACTTACTCCCACCTCTGGTATATGCACATATGAATAGTGGTATGTATGTATGTATACATCTATAGTTAATAGCTGTTCTTGTCCTACTCAGCCTTTTGCATCCTATTTGAACAAACTCTAAATAGAGCTGTATCAATTGAATTTGTGTTCCTTTATTGTAAATGATTAAATGTACTTCCTTAAACTGTGTTTTTTACAAACCAAATAGATCAGCTTTGAGGAAATAGTGCCTGAGCCTGTTCCTCTCACAGAGACAGTGCCTGACCTACGAGATGATGAGCTTGTTCCTAACGGGAACTTATCACTTCCTGTTCATGATGTTTCTCTCATCCACAGCTGCTGCTTAGATCTCCATGAGAGCCACTGACCAACCTGCGAACCATCACACTAACTAAATAACAAATATACTATCTTACTAACTTAGTAGCTAACTATCTTACTAACTTACTGATTCAACTTATAAACTAACTAACTAACCATCACACTATCTAACTAATTACATTTTTAACTTATTAACAAACGAGCTAACTAGCTATCTAACTAACTTATTTACTAACTAACTATCCAACTAACTTACTATCTATTTAACTATCTTTTAAACCTTCTAACCAACTGTCTAACTAACTAACTAGATGAACTAAACACAGATCCCAGTTGAGAAGAGGTTGATAATGCTGCAGCTGGTTGACAAAACCCTTTAAATCTCACACTTCAAGGACACTGATAGATTAATAGGATACTGCTTCGATTTCAATCGATGTGTGTTTCAGTGTGAGTGGGCACCTGCTCGATGATTTGTCGGATGGTGTTGAGGCGAACCACTCCGGAGGACTTCTCTGATCCGGCGTCTTTCGGCTCGGTTTCTAACATAAGAACAGAGAAACAGTGGGGGGGGGGATTTAGCAGAAACACCAGGACACCTAACACCCACTGACACTGACTCCGGGACTCACTGGCAACCACAAACAGGTCGGGCATCTCGGAGGCCAGCTTCTCATTGGCAGCGTCAGCTATGGGCCCGAACAGAACCACGGGGCGGCGGAAACCAGCTGCAACGACACGGGGCTCATTACAATGCTGCCACACACTGAAGACACTGAAACGTTGACTTTAATGAAATGTATCATGTCAAAACATTTCATAACTGTATTAGGTTAGTTGAAGGCAATACTATTAAGTTGAACCTGATATTTTTTATTTACACTTAATATTATTGCATTCAACTAACCTAATACAGTTATATTTAATCTGTATTAGACGTAATACATTTAATTAAAGTCAGTTTTTTTAGTGCAGTACATTATGTAGTAAGAAAACACATTAATTTGAAACACAACAAAGGTATGTAACTTACATTACAAGACATTTTACAGTTCAACCTGGTGATACACTACGTAATAAGGACGTTTCTAAATGAAATGATACATACCATTAATCATTCTTGCTATAATATCAACCTGCTTAGTCAAATCTTTGTCAGAATATATTATTTCCAATCTAAAAGTATACGGTTGTGGCTGTGCAGCATTAAAGCTTGTTTAAAGCAATGTAGACATGTTCTGAAGAACATAAGGCTCAAACTCTCGTACTTTTAGCCAGTCACATAGAACAGGAAAAAAACACATGTAAATACGTGATGCTTCAGCGGGTCTATATCCATTACATAATGGTGACAGACATCTACCTTTCATTAAAGTCAATGTGTTCTTTTTTTCAGTGTAGACTACAACATTAAAATCCTCCTGTGTGATCTAGTTGTTTTTTTCAGTCAGACCCCAGAGACGAGTGTCTCCATGAACAGAGACTCAGCCACCTTCTCGCAGCACCACCCGCTCGTATGCTGGGAAGCGGGTGGCCAGGGTCGGAGTGCTCAGGTTCTCCCTGCTCTTCCTCAGGTCCTTCCTCTTCACAGAGCGCTGAGCTCGCAACCTCCAGAAGTCCGCTCGATCGACCGCCACTGCTTTATGAGCACTCTGCACACTGGCCATCTGCTCCGCTCTGCCAGGGAGCACAAACAACATGGATTTATCCATCGATTCAGGCATTGTGGAGGAGCCGGGGGCTTCAGATGTTCATTGCCAAATATACACTCTAGCTACTGTGCATACGACAATAAAGCCTTTGAAACTTTACATCCTTCTTTTACATTAGGGACAAATAATTGACCAGTTTTGTCATGTTGACCTTTGATGGTTCTCAGCAATAAATGATGAAGTTATGGTGGAAGACTCTTCCAAGAGTTATTTGTATTCTTTCTATGGCAACAATATTTCATCACCGCTGTTGGTAAACCAAAATAGCATTGCCCCTTTGGATTTGATCATCTCTTTGTGCTACTATATATTGTTTTTCACCATTAACACCAAACAGAGGATGCTTGCTCTCACACTTTGTATGAATAGGCTTCACCGCTCAATCTGACAGCTGATGAGGAAGGCGACTCGTGTTCTTCTCCTTGAATTACTACACTGATGTCATCAGTGAAATCTTTTCAACTTTATGCACTCCAAAAAACAACAGCACTCTCAGAAAAAGGACGCTGGGTGCGGCGCTTTTTCTCGAGGCGGCAGCATGCAACCAGAGATGGAAGAAGTACTCAGATCCTTTATCCTTTCTTTTTTGTAGAAGTAGATCTACTTTGCTTTTAAAATAATCCAATACACGTAAAGGCCTGAAAAGGGCACATAAGTAAAATACTTGAATATTACAAGTAGTGAGGCCCTACCTGCTCTTGTTGGGGATGAGGCCCTTCTCCAGCAGCTGCTTGTCCTTGCCCACACGGACAGCCAGCCAGTTGCCCAGCTTCCCGTCGTACAGCGTGTCCACCACCTTGAAGACGTCCCCCCGGCTGAAGGCCAGGCTCTGAGGGGTCTCCTTCTCATACTCAAAGTGCGTCCGGATGAAGAAGGAGTCTCCACGCCCCGACACCAAGATATCATTATAGACTAGAGAAACAAAGAGGAATAGATAAAGGGAAGGAGCATTAAAGAGGGGAAACAAAGGAACAGAATGAGGCTCCGACAGTGTATGAAACAGATACTGTCTGACAAATAATGTCATATATTTAAGGTGTTGGTCAGATGTATAGTCTGTCTTATTTACATTCTTAATGGAAATTCTTCTTTACAAAGTATGGTTTTGAAATGTCAGCTGCTCTGACTATTAGTTCTGTGATGTTAGTTGATAAGTGATGCGTATTGTATTACTGATCAAAGATAGAGGAATACTTCAATAAAGGCCAGAAAGCTAATACTCTTGGATGTAAGCTATGCCGAATATTTTGGGACTTGTCCTTGTATTATCAGTACAGTTGAAGACAAACGGGAAAGAAAAAGTAGGGATGATATGCCACAGGATGCCGGCTCTAAAAGGAACAGCTAATAATAATATAACAATAATGTCCATGAGTTGAAGTTTAGAGCACCACAGAACTAGTGCACCTTTGAGCTGAGAATGTGTATTACATGCCCTTCATGCTCACATTCCCTTCCTTATTTGCACATTCAAAGCAAATTGCACACATTTGATCTGACTGTTGCATTGGAATGAACAGCACTGCCTGCTGCGGGGGGGCTTCCTGATGTGATGTGTGTGGTCTGACAGAGCGCTGACCCAAGAGGACCAACAGAGGCCACAGTCATACTGCCTCTACTCTACTACTGCAGGCTGGCTACACACACCACTTCACACACACGGTGGACTCAGCTGCAGCACACACTCAGTCCACTCATACTGATGAGATACAGGAAACAAAGGTACACCTCTAAAATCCTTCAAAGACATGTGAGCAGTGAACCCAGAGGAACTACAACATGTCCACAACGACCTCCCTGACCTTTCTTATCATCCACTACCATTTGTGTTTGGTGTGAGGACCTGCTGGTTCTCTCTGATGACCTCACATGTCCTCGCCTCAGAGCGGTGCGGGGGGGGTCACACAGTGTGCCAGGGGGTCAGTGCTCTGCTCCTTTCATGTGATTTTGCCTCATAAATAGATTTCTCCAATGAAAAGGCCACACGCTCAGGGGGCCGATGCTCTCATTACATAACACAGTTTGAGGCGTGTGCCCATGTGTGTCACGGCTGGCTGAACCAAAACTAGCCTGATCCGGACTAAATGCCTCGGGGGGGGCAAGCTGGTATCTCTATCATTAACTGGAAACACAGAGAGAGAGAGAGAGAGAGAGAGAGAGAGAGAGAGAGAGAGAGAGAGAGAGAGAGAGAGAGAGAGAGAGAGAGAGAGAGAGAGGGAAGAGAGAGAGAGAGAGAGAGACAGAGAGAGACAGAGAGAGAGACAGAGAGAGAGAGAGAGACAGAGAGAGACACAGAGAGAGAGAGAGAGAGAGAGACAGAGACACATAGAGAGAGAGAGAGAGAGAGAGAGAGAGACACAGAGAGAGAGAGGAGGAGAGACTGTGGTTCTGTGCTGTGAAGGTGTCAGTTGCCTGACAAAGCATTGTGGGACAGTATGCTGTTTTCAGGGATGTTCCGCTAGTTGATGTTGGGAGTAGAATTGTCCTTAACGAAGTGCTCGGTATTAGAAAATAATAGAGTATTCAGTAAAATCAGTGTAATGTAAGGTGTGTACAGTGACTGCATCAGAGATGTGTGTGTGCAACTTCAGGTGTAAGAAAGTTGAGGGCCCAGCTGCCAAGGCCTGTATGCAGGAGTAGTGAGGTGTTTGTGTGTTTGAAGGAGGGTGCATGCAAGGACAGAGGCCCATGGTTGAAGGCTGATAACTGGATGGAAAAAGGGGGTCCTGAAACTAAAAGTGGTAGGAGTAGCTGGAGGGCATTTTCTAGTGAGGGCATTCAGCCCTCACTAGAAAACACTGAAGTCATAGAACATCAAGCCAACATAGGAGGAGAAAGTGTCAAAATAGAACAAGCTCTCAAAAACAATGGGATTACAGTTTGTAGATGGAACAGCAGGGGTTAGCACTTTAAAAAGGAGAGAGCATATTCACATCCGGAGACTGGCCTGGGTTTTCATTCTCTTAAGAATACAACTGAGTGCATCAGACTGTGATCGTCTGCAGTGCATTCTGTGAACCTGATGAGACTCCACGTGCTGAAGAGGTGCGTGTTCATATTCTAGCCCAAGCCTGGAGCTTTGTTTTTATACACACCATCGGCATTTCATATCAAAAAGTTGTGTGTTATACCTCACTACAGGGCAGTGGTACTGAGACCACTCTCTTTAAAAGGTCTCCTATTATAAGCATATATTATAGGTCTCAGATATATAAAAAACATGTCTATGAAGCGTTTTGCTCAAAATGCCAAACAGATAACCCATTCTAGCCATGCCTCATAGCCCTCTATTTCAGCCCTGTTACTAAAGTGCTGATTCCAGGTCCGTAGCTTTATTAAAGAAACAAAAGAAAACGAGACGAGAGCTCATGCTACTCAGCTAAATGCTGCCGTGATTAAACAAACCACATCAAGGATTATTTCTGAAACAGTATGGAGCTCAAATGCTTTTTCTCTTGCGGGTTTATCACAAGATGAGTTCCTTTTTATTTCCTGCTATTTATACATGCTCTCCAGTACAGGTTAGCTCTGAGTGTTAGCGATGCTAATGTAAACACAGACCATATTACGTCCAAAACAGTCAGGCATTGTTTCTGATAGCAACGTGTCTGATAGTACCGTGGGTTCACATTTCAGATATTACGTCATATCGGCAGCAAATCTGGATCAGCTCCGTTGTAGCCCCGTTTTTAGAGATTTGGGTACGGAGGAAAAGAGAGAGGGTTTTATTCTCTTGACACTTTGTGTGTTCCCTGACACACCGGCTCTGTTCTCTACTATTTACGGGCTTGAGGAGTGACTGATTACATATAACGGGATAATGTAATCAGGATTTTTTTTAAAAGTTACTTTTAGGGCTGTCGAAGTTCAAGCGTTAAACTTTCAACATCGATAGCCAATGGTGGAAGAAGGAAAAGTATTTGTTATGCGTAATGGCCCTTTTCAGAATGCTGTTTATTAACTTACTGGATTATGATTATTGATGCATGTGTTTGTTAAGGTGGAGCTGATTTTAATTACTTTTGTATATCCTACTGCTGCTGGGTATCTTAACCCATCATTTCATATTTATTACTTGATTTATATTTGTATTAGCTTATGATCTAAATCTGTAAGTAACTAAAGTTGTCAGATACATGCAGTAGAGTCAACATTACAATAAAGGCGTTTAAAATGAAGGGGAGTGGAAGTATAAAAGCCCATAAAAAAGAAAATACCCTAGTACCTCATTTTGAATTGTTTCAATAATAATAAACATGAATTTTCTGTAAAGCAATTAGGACCTTTAGGGGTTCATTTACAACAGATACATAAGTGTGATTCATTGGAGATTGCATTTAATTGATTTCATCTTAACTTTATTCCTTTACAGTTACAAAAAAGACGCCATCAGAATACTGCTATATTTGTAAAAAGTGAGAATTACTAGCAGTATTACAATTTTCTTTCAAAAAAGAGCCTTTTGTGTTTGAGCTTATGTGTTGTTAAATATTTTAATTCTTACCTAATGATGGCACTAGACTGTTCCTTTTAGAGACAAAGAAATGTTGCAATAAATGGGGCGAAGCCTGCGAGCTAGTTCAGGCAGTCAACTGGAGCACCAATGATACATTAACACGTGACGCGCCTCGTCCCTCTTACAACCAACCAAACACATTCTCCTAAACATGCCGCTCTATTTAAGCTGCCAGGTCTTCTGCCTCTGCCTCGCTCATGCTGCTGCTGCTGCTGCTGCTCTCCTGCCCCCCCCCCCCACCCCAGCTCCACCCCAGCTTCCACCTGTAGGCTCGGGGATAGTTATCTAATCATCACTCAATGTTCTTTGTAAATCTGTGGAGTAATGAGGCCTGAGCCTAGACGCCAAACTCAAACTATATGCTGCTTATAATAAACATTAAAAAACACGTGAGTTGTCTGGCTGAACACTGTTTATGAAGATGTTATCAGTGTAATACATGTAAGTGTTTTTGCTGCTGTCAGTGGAGGGGGTGTGTTACCGTCAGGTTTGCTCTGAGCCAGGATGGTGACCATTTCCCCTTTAGGAATCTCCAACAGGAAGAGCACGGCTTCCTCTCTCACCACTCCTTGAAAATCAACATTGTTCACCTTCAAGACACAAACAAAGGAAACAGGAATAGCTTGCTGTTTATAAAATGCTATTTGTTGTGGAAATATTTTCCAAGGCCCATAACTTTGACCCAGTTTATCAGTTCAAACTGTCCTGACTGAGCACACACACCTCGTAACCTTGGCTGCTGTGCTCTCAGTGTTCTGTCTCCCTGTTCCTGCCTGTTGGCGTCAGCTGATAGAGGTGTTATGATTCTATGTTCCTGCCTGTTGGATCAGCTGATAGAGGTGTTATGATTCTATGTTCCTGCCTGTTGGATCAGCTGATAGAGGTGTTATGATTCTATGTTCCTGCCTGTTGGATCAGCTGATAGAGGTGTTATGATTCTATGTTCCTGCCTGTTGGCGTCAGCTGATAGAGGTGTTTTATTTTGTTTCATTTTATTTGGTTGTTTAGCCCCTCATGCTATAATCATGTGTATTTTCTCCATTCCTGTTCATGTGTCTTCTCGCAATTATCACTGGCCCTGTGTATCTCCTAATCGATATAACCGGCCTGCTCTCGTCTATCCCACATGCTCCACTGAGATCCAACATCTAGTTTCTGGTGGCCTGTGGAACTGCCAGTCAGCTGTTCCTAAGGCTGACTTCATCTCTGGCTACGCCTCCCTGCAGTCTCTGGATTTCCTTGCTCTCACTGAGACCTGGATTACTCCATCCAACACATCCACCCCAGCAGCTCTCTCCACAGCATATTCCTTCTCCCATACACCCAGACCAACTGGCAAAGGAGGTGGCACTGGTCTCCTGCTCTCTCCCAAATGGAGCTTTTCCCTCTTCAAGCTACCTAACTTCACTCCTTCCACCTTTGAATTCCATGCCGTCACAGTAACCCATCCTATACAGCTAACCATTGTTGTTCTCTACCGTCCGCCAGGCGCCTTGGGGGACTTCTTGGAGGAATTACCGCTGGGTAGTGGTGGTCTAATGGATAGTGAGGTGGGCTGAAGATCGGAGGGTTGTGAGTTCAAATCCCGTCTGGAACACCACCACCAGTGTGCCCTTGAGTAAGGCCCTTAGTTACTCCAGGGAGAATGTCCCTGAAATTGGTAATTGTAAGTCGCTTTGGATAAAAGCGTCAGCTAAATGAAATGTACATGTACATGTACAATTAGATAATCTCCTCTCACACATCCCTGAAACTGGCCCTCCCGCTGTACTTCTCGGAGACTTCAACCTCCAGACGGGGAAGATAGACGAACTAACATCTCTGTTAACCGCCTTTGCTTTCTCACTGTCTCCGTCCCCACCGACTCATAAAGCTGGCAATGTCCTTGATCTCATTTTCTCAAGGAACTGCGCTACTTCTAACCTCTCTGTAAACCCGCTCCACACATCCGATCACTTCTTCATTTCATTCTCTCTACCCCTTTCCAAACATAACAAACTAATCTCTTCTCATCCTGCACTTGTCCGCCGTAACCTTCGCTCCCTCTCCCCCTCTACCTTTGCCTCGTCGGTGCTCTCAGCCCTCCCTTCCTCTGACTCGTTCCAACTCCTGCCTCCAAACTCTGCTGCAGAAACTCTCCTCTCTACTCTCTCATCCACTCTGGACTCGCTCTGTCCTCTCACATCTCGGCAGGCTCGTCAGTCCCCTCCTGCTCCCTGGCTAAATGATGCACTGCGTGCTAATAGAACCGTCCTTAGGGCAGCAGAGCGGAAATGGTGGAAATCCAAACACCGTGAAGACCTCCTAACCTATCAAGCTCTCCTCTCCTCTTTCTCTGCTTCGATCTCTCAGGCAAAAAGCACTTTCCTTCAAGATAAGATCCAATCTTCCTATTCCAATCCTAAAAAACTATTTTCCATCTTCTCCACCCTCTTGGACCCTCCAAAAGCTCCTCCCCCCTCCTCACTTCTGTCAAGCGACTTTGTTACCCACTTTGAAAAAAAGGTTAATGATATTCGCTCTTCTTTTTCTGACTCACCTTTACTCACCGCTGGGTCACCAGACCCTCCTTCCACCAACACACTTACCTCCTTTTCCCCTCTCTCTCCAAGTGAGGTTCTTACCCTCATTACCTCTGCCCGCCCTACCACCTGTCCTCTGGACCCTATCCCCTCAAACCTCCTTCAGACTATCGCTCCTGATATTCTACCGTTTCTCACCCATTTCATCAACACTTCTCTAACTTCTGGTCACTTTCCAAACAGTCTCAAGGAGGCAAGAGTAAACCCTCTCCTAAAGAAACCCACTCTCAACCCGTCTGATGTTATAAACTACAGGCCTGTCTCTCTCCTCCCGTTCCTGTCTAAATCACTTGAACGCGCTGTCTTTAAACAACTCTCCTGTTATCTCAATCAGAACAACCTTCTGGATCCGCACCAGTCTGGTTTCAAGGCAGGTCACTCCACAGAAACTGCTCTCATTGCTGTCACGGAGGAACTGCACACTGCCAAAACTGCATCCCTCTCCTCTGTCATCATCCTGTTGGACCTGTCTGCAGCATTCGACACGGTGAATCATCAGATCCTCCTTCGCACTCTCCAAAAACTTGGAGTTTCAGGCTCTGCACTTTCCCTCCTCACCTCATACCTGAAAGACCGTACCTACAGGGTGACTTGGAGAGGGTCTGAGTCCGACCCTTGTCAATTAACTACGGGGGTCCCTCAGGGCTCTGTTCTTGGTCCCCTCCTCTTCTCCCTGTACACAAACTCGCTCGGATCAGTCATTAGCCCGCATGGTTTTTCTTTTCTTCGTTTACCACTGCTACGCTGATGACACCCAATTAATTCTGTCCTTTCCCCGCTCAGAGACCCAGGTCGTCGCACGCATCTCTGCTTGTCTAGCTGACATCTCTCAGTGGATGTCTGCTCACCACCTCAAACTCAACCTTGACAAGACTGAGCTGCTCTTCCTTCCGGGAAAAGATTGTCCCACTCTTGACCTAACAATCAACATCGGCACCTCAGTTGTTTCCCCGACTCAGACTGCAAGGAATCTGGGTGTGACCCTAGATAACAACCTGTCCTTCACTGTAAACATCGCTGCTACAACCCGTTGCTGCAGATACACGCTTTACAACATCAAGAAGATACGTCCCCAGCTGACACAGAAAGCGACTCAGGTTCTGGTCCAGGCTCTCGTCATCTCACGCCTAGACTACTGCAACTCCCTCCTGGCTGGTCTACCTGCATGTGCCATCCGACCTCTGCAGCTCATCCAGAATGCAGCGGCTCGTCTGGTCTTCAACCTTCCTAAATTTTCCCACACTACTCCGCTCCTCCGCTCGCTTCACTGGCTTCCGGTAACTGCTAGAATACACTTCAAGACACTGGTACTTGCTTACCATGCTGCGAATGGATCTGGCCCTTCGTACATCCAGGACATGGTTAAACCGTACACCCCAGCGCGTGCACTACGCTCTGCATCAGCCAAACGACTCGCTGCGCCCTCGCTGCGAGGGGGACCCAAGTTCCCAACGGCGAAAACACGTGGGTTTGCTGTCCTGGCTCCAAGATGGTGGAATGAGCTCCCCATTGACATCAGGACGGCAGATAGCATGCACATCTTCCGGCGCAAACTGAAAACTCATCTCTTTCGACTCCACTTCGAGCGATAGAACTATTAACGAAGCACTTTTATACTAATAAAGGACTGGCTTTTCTAAAGCCAGTTGAGTAGCACTTGAAATGTTTTTGCTCTATGAAACCTGATGTACTTATATGATTCTGTTTTCTTCAAGTTGTATTTTGTTGGACGAACGCACTTATTGTAAGTCGCTTTGGATAAAAGCGTCAGCTAAATGCAATGTAATGTTATGATTTTATCTTGTTATGCAGCAGTTTGATGATGCTCTCAGAACTAGTTAAATACATGGGTCTGAGGTAGAGTTCTTCAGAATTGACGTGGCAACTCTACCGTGAAGTCAGAACCTCTGGCTCTTGGACTTGTGATGTGAATCTCTCCGGCCGTAACTCCAAATAAACCTCCAGTGTTTTGACATCAAAGTTCCTGCTCTTCCTGTGTCTCCTTCCTGAGTCGGTGACTCCCACTGCATTGCTACACAGAAGTTTCCCTTACACCATTGTAATTTGAACTATGTCTGATTTGAAAGTATTGCTGTTTATGAAATGGATGTTGGTGTTTCTGAACTGTTTACCTTTAGGATTTGGTCCCCTATGTGCAGACCCTCCTTCTCGGCAGGACTGCCCTCTTGAACACTGGCGATGAAGATACCCACATCATTTCCTCCTGCCAGCCTCAGCCCCACACTGTCCCCCTTCTGGAAATTCACCATCACCGTGTTGGGCCTGCAGAGAACACACATTCTGCTGTTTACCAGAGGAGGGAGAAGTACTCAGATCTTGTGATTAACAAAAAAAGTAAAAGTACCAAAGTGTAGGAATACTCTGTTACAGTAAAAGTCCTGCATTCAAAATGTTACTCAAGTAAAAGTAGAAAAGTATTAACATCAAAATATAGTGAAAGTAGCGACAGTAAAAGTTGTCGTTGTTTGATTGGTCCTTTTCAGAATAATATATATGATGTGTTTTATAATGAAAGTGTTGACTTTGTATACTGCAGGGTAGCTTGTGGATTTACTCCAGGTGGAACTAAAGTCTGATTTAACACTTGATTATATTTCACATCATTCATCCACATCTGTGAAGTAACTAAAGGTACTAAATACATGTAGTGGAATAAAAGTACACTTTTTACCTCTGAATTGTAGTGAAGTAGAAGTAAAAGGTATCAAACAATTGACATACGTAATAAGTCAAGTACAAGTACCTCAAAATTGTACTTAAGTACAGTACTTGAGTACATTTACTGAATTACTTTACACCACTGCTGTTTACGATATGAGCCAGGTTTACTAACATATCATTGCAAAGCAGAGGTGAAAATTGTTTTATTTAAACTTGTAACATTACGACAGAAAATCATACAGTACATTTCCATGAAAACACCAACTAACGTACGAAGTGAAATATCATGGATGCATCTGAAGTCAATCTAAGGTACCTAAACCCTGCCAATCATAGAGAAAAAAGAAAAACTCACCCATATATCTTTTCATCTTCTGGACTTGGTCGGAGGAGAATCTTTGGTGTGGTTGTTATGGCAACTAAAGATAAGGAAATCAGGTGTAAGCATCTGCAATGCTACAAACATGACCGGTCAGTAAAAGTCAATGCATAAAAGCTGAATTGATAATTAAGTATAAAATATAACTACTATAACTTTACTATTTACTATTACTACACTATAGAGTGGTGCAGTTGGATCATATGTTTGCAGGACGACCCAGAAGTTAGCTTTACAAGGGCTCTCTACGAACGAGCAATGGGATTTTTCCACTGGATTTCAATATATTGCAGAAAATAACTGAAACGTTGACTTTAAGTAAATGTATCGTGTCAACACATTTCATATAACTGTATTAGGTTAGGTTAGTGAAACCAATAATATTTAGTTGAACCTAATATTTTTGATTTAACCTTGAATGCCAGTTTAGTTTTGTGAATGTGTAATTTTTGCAATTTGTTAGTTAGCACATATCAAACTTGCCAAGATGAAAATATGTCAGAGGTTGGGTTTAAAGCTTGTTCAAAAAAATAACAAATTCAAGCAGTTTTAAGAACAAAACAATGGTAAACAGGTATATAAATAGTCACTGTTCAGTCACCACGGCACCCAGTAGACCACCAATAAAGACATTATTGTCAATGTTGTACAATAAAACTGCCTATAACTATTAATAAAAAACTGTTGAGCTTATTAATATTATTGCTGGATTCTACCTCAGTCACCGCATAGTTCACGTACGTCAGATACTTAAATGTGTTTCTTAACCATGAGTTATACTATATACTTATTTTATTAACGTGTGCTTCGGCTGCTTCCCTCTTAATTTAATAACTTAGCCTACTTAGTATTCGCCTTTTATCTTCACTGTCCCTTTGCTGTAACACTTCAAATATCCCCGCTGTCGGGGTGAATAAATTAATACTGTTTATGATAAACAATTCAAACAGTCCCAAAACAAGGGGATGTTTTATATTCAGTGGAATCAGCTTTTAGTCATTTATTATAGTGATTCGAGTGTGTCATTGTCACTGTGTGTGTTTTGATGTTGCTGGGTGGTGATGACCTGGAGGCTGCTCTTGGTGCCCTGACTCTCTGTTCAGCTCTGCGGAGGCATGGGGGTCTTCAGGGACTCTGAAGGGGGAGGCCATGGCGGACATCTTGGCTGTCTTCATGGGTTCTTCCCTGTTAGTTTCAAGGTAACACACACAGACACGCGGGATGAGAGACTGCTAGGTGTCACAGCCGATTAAAGACGGAAACTAAATAAGCTTGTTGACAAGATAACAGTAAGACACAATGGTAACTTTAAATGAGGACATATTTGTCTCTATATATTCTGCTCATTTTCAGGTTCATATCAGTATGTAGTGTCTCTACTGGGACATGTCTCCATGCTTTAATGTTCAAACAGCTCTTTATTTTTCTCATACTGCCTGTGCTGCAGCACCTCTTTTCACCCTCTGTCTGAAACCAGAGCCCAGTCTGCTCTGATTGGTTAGCTGGCCGGCTCTGTTGTGATTGGTCAACCGCTAAGAGATGTCCTGCCCCTTAGCAATCACGTACAATGCGCTGGAGCTCAAGCCAATAGAAGTGTGAGTGTTACATAGTGATGTCAGTATAAACAAAGGAGTCCAATGGAGGTGTTTCAGGCAAGGGGGGGGGGGGGGGGGGGGGGGGGGGGGGGTGGTTTGGGGAGTATAGGAGAGAAAGTCAATTTACATGAAAAAAAAACTCTACAGGAAAGGGAATACCCTGAAAAACACAGTCGGGGCCCTTTAATTAGTGTCCGTTTTAAAGTATTTTAAGGAAAGTCACATTTATATCACAAGCCAAACAAAGTGGACACAAGTCTGGACAGGATATTGTCCATGGCACATCCACATCAGGTCACATGTCTACATCACCAAACAGGAAGTCCTCTCATCATCCTACCTGGGGTTGTCTCTTTCATTAGAAGAGTGGGAGGACAGGTCAGACTGGCGGGACCTCCTCTCCTCTGGAGGGGAATAGGAATGGTATGACTCCATCTCTGATATGTCTGACGGACGGACAGACAGACAGTTAAACACAGACTACATCCTCCTGTCCAAACTGTGCACCACCACCAGCACCGGCAGTAGATAATGGTTGCCTCCGGAAGCACCAACACCAGCTTATTATGGCCCGGGACAGAGTGAGGACATTGTTAAAGAGGTCAAAATTACGAGGACACACTCATGGTGACACAGCCCCATAAAAGCAGCCATTACTCTAACACACTGAAACCATCAGAAATATTCAAAAGAACAGCATATTGTTCTGGTTTAGGGAATGTTCCTACTTAAAGAAGGTAGCCATTGGTTTCCATTCATATCAGCTTCCCTATACATAGATGATGATTAGCTATAGCCTCGATTGATGCAGTTGATATAAAGTTGGTGGTACTGGTGTATTTTAAAAGGGCAGGGCCCACAGCTCGGTTCGAAGTAAAGACCACTAGGGATGCCGTACAGAAAAACTGTTTGTCATACAGTTAGTAATATCAAATTGGAGTTGAAAATCATGTTCATCGCAAGGAGTGCAACTTTAAAGAGATACAAAGAGGCAAATTCATGTTCAGACACTTTCGAGAAATCCAAATCAAGGATCTGAGGCAACTTCTGCATCACCAATACAAGGGAAGCTCATACTGAACAGAAACAAGCTGCTGACGCACAGCCCTGCGCTCCAAAGAGAGCACTCTGCTTTCATTCAGTCCCATTTCAAGTGAACATGTGTGGCAGAGTGTTTGATTTGGCTGCTTTTATCCGTCAGTGTGGCACTCAGCATGGCTCCGAAAGCAGGGAGGGAGCTTTGACGGGGGCCGGGACACCAAGAACAGAAACAGAAGAACCACACACACACGAGAGCAAACAGAAAAGTGAAAATAAAGGTCCCTCTGAAACAATATGCCGTGTTAAATCAGCAGACAGAAAGCAGATTCTTTTTCACATGGAGTCTGGCACAGGTGCGATCTAGAGCGTGTGGATTAGTTTGATTAGGGTTAGAGACATTCTGCATGCAGGCTGAAAGGAAGACAGACAGAAAGAGAAAGATCAATGGGAGGATAACGTGTCAAACCTGATATGGAAGTGTCGACCAAATATGTCAGAAACAGCATCAGTCATTCAGATGTATGTCACAACAGCACCTTTGGACAGTGTGTTGATGTGGAAGACTCCATCACAAAGAACTGATCAACTGAGTTTTTTTCTTGTCCGTTTGTAGAGGTGAATTCATTTTTTGCTCAGTTCTAAACCACTTTCGGCAACAATATTGCCCTCTTTAATATTAAAGATCAAACTTGTAACAGGGCTATAGGCAATACTTGAGCACACATTATATTTAAAACCTTATTGTATGCAGTGTTTTCCTTCTCTTTCAAATTAAAGCAAAATCTATTGTATTTTGTAATGTTTGTATTTTGTTAACCCTGTATGAGTTCAAGCTAACCTTTTCACTGCTATTAAGGATACAAAAGAATAATTCTTACAATATAAACAATTTGAATCTACATCTAATGACAGTCTGCTGTGCTTTTTGCTCAGTCCATTCATGTTCCTCAGAGGATGAACCCTTTTCTTGGTAATGGCTCAATGACCATGTGCCTCACAAATGTAGGATTAAGAAAGGTAAACCATTTTTTCTTTAGCATTGGGTGTAATGAAGATTTTAGCTGCTGGTGAAGCTTTTCACTTCTAATCTTGTTTTGTGTATTAATCAGTGGACAATGCAGTACAAACAGCCAAGACAACACACTGGGGATTTCTGTAACGTGTGGGGAAATGGGTGGGGATGGAAACCTGACGGTGGAGAAAAAAAGAACGATTCTGGTGTGGAAAGGAGTCAAGAGCCTAATGGGTCCGCCACATTGAAAATAAATACTTATATAAAAAATCGTCTGCTCTGATTGGTTAACTGGCTGGCTCTATTGTGATTGGTCAACAGTTGAGAGATGTCCCGTCCGTTAGCCTATCACTTACAATGTTGGCTTGCTAGCCAATATAAGTGCGAGTGTGAAAATCTACCATTGTCGGAAAGAAGAAAGCAACTACCCCAGAAAAGTTTCACTCAAAGTTCGGTGATACCAAAACACACAGAGCAGCCTGACTCTCTCCAGGCTGCAGGTTGGGGGGGGGGGGGGGGGGGGGGGGGGGGCAGTGAGACCTGAGCTAGCTGTGTGTGGAACAGCAGGAGAGGAGACTTCAGAGCACCTGGACAGACAACGGCGAGTCGCTACACTGTTAGGACGAATGATTAATATATTATTACACTGAAAACTCAACAAACATCTTACCCACTGTACGAGCCACGCTTTGTCATGCAACCTTCTGTTGTCATCATCACTCTTTGTGTGTAGCATCATTATTCAGATAATATGAGCGCACATTCACCTGAACGCAGCGCACTGACCTCTTCCACTCTATACTTCATTAATCACACAATTCAGAGTAAATAGTGATTTAATATGTTTATTTATTCAGGAAAAATTGAATCACGTATTAAAAAGTTAAGAGATTTTGAGCAGTATAAAGAGTAGTGCAAAAGGTGTGAAAGCTTTACAACTTAGTCAGGTTGTGTCACAGCCGTTTTACAGCTTAGAGAAAGGCAACAGGGTTACACATGCTGTGTCTCGGGGAGGGGGGGTCCTTCATCTAAAAGAATGACCTATTATCTGGAAGAGAAAACACAGAGAGAGATTGCACTTTTGAGCGATTACAGGCATCGCTTCAGCTTGTCAAGATGAGCAAAATGAATAGGATCAGTTCAGAATCTAAAGAGCTGGAGCCTCTCTTCTTCCCCCCCCGTTATTTTGAGTTGTCATGGAAACATTTCATTTGTGATTTTACAAGGCATTTAAATATAACTTAATTGTTGTGTTTTTATAATGTATCTCTGTGTTCTACAGCAGTAGTAACTACCTCTGAAGGAAACTTTAAGAATGTAGTCTTTGCAGAACATTTACATGCACACAAATCTGAATTATTTCATTTATTTTTAGAATTTTTCACAATATACTTTGACTAACTAAACGCTGAATAAACTGTATCAATAAAGAGATATATTTATTAATGAAAATAGAAAAAGATAAATATTATTCTCTTGACACACTTTAACCCCCGCAGCGTGAAGCAAGTTTGTTACTTTAAAAGATGTTTTATCCTATGAGTGATACAGCTCAACGCAGCATGTCGACCCTTTAACCTGAACCATCGTCTCTTACTTCAACCTCAGCATTAGACACCCGAGATGAGCTTCAAAGGTTGGTCGAGTAACACAATGAGTTAACTGACAGTCGTCCATGAATATTATCAGCTGAGTAATACAACGTTTCAGAGTGTCATCACACTAATAGATTTAATAGAGTGGTGCAGGGATGACGTATTATTATAGGCTGACTTCGAGACGAGGAACCAGTAAGAGGTGAAATGCTGACTCATATCCATGTTTAGGACTCATCCCTGCACCACTCTATTAGAACATTTCGGACACTGGAATGCCTCTGCGGATCGCTGAATATAAAAATAGTTAGGGTTAGCCACCAGTACGTACGACTGCAGTGTATACGCATCTAAACCAATGACACTGACATGCATTCAGGGACTCACCGTCGTTGTCAGAGTCAGAGTCTGCAAGGGGGGGGATGCGGACGAGGATCTGACGGCTGTCTCTCTGTACCACCAGCTGCAGCTTCCCCCTCGACTTCTCTATCAGCTTCCCCGCATCGTGCAGTGAGAGGTTCTCCGTCACCGTCCCGTTAATCTACACACACACACACACACACACACACACACACACACACACACACACACACACACACACACACACACACACACACACACACACACACACACACACACACACACACACACACACACACACACACACACACACACACACACACACACACACACACACACACACACACCACACACACACACACACACACACACACACACACACACACACACACACACACACACACACACACACACACACACACACACACACAGTTTAGAATAATAAAGTAGCATTCAATTCAAATACACACATAGAATACAAATAAGATGAAAAATGTACTTAAAGTGGACCCGTTATGCTATATTTGACAAATATATTGTAGGGTCATACCTATACAAAACATGTCTGTGAAGTTTTTTGCCTAAAATACCAAACAGATCACCCATTGTAGCCATGCCTCATACTGCTCATACCCCTCTATTGCAGCCCTGTTCCAAACAGGCTGATTCTGCATCAAATGGAATGGCTGCTGCTAGCCACGCCCCTTTGTAGCGTCACGCAGCTTTCCCCCTGCTAAGAGAAGCTCAGCTAAACACTGCCGTGATTAAATGCCATATTATGCTCCCAACCACTTCAAGCATTATTTCTGAAACAGTATGGAGCTCAAACTAGTGATGGGCAAATGAAGCTTTGAATGAAGCATCGAACCACTTGGACAATTGTTTCAAAAATAGAAAAAATCAAAGCTTCAGTTACAGCGACCTCTCCTGGCGAAGTGCAAGGCTGCAGTGGGTTTAACGTATCTTTGCCTTGAAAAATATTCGATGCACACACACTAAGACTGAATATCATGTTCTATTTGCAATTAAAGATTGATAATTATGTGTATTGGGTTATTGAGAAGAGACTAGAGAGTGCTGGAAAATGTGGCATTGGTTGGGTGTGCTTGTGTAATTATGGCAGGGGGTGATTATGTGGCATGGGGAACACTCAAATATCTTTATTGAGGTAGCCTACATTATTCTTTTTATTTTGTATTTTTCTAAAAGGCATTTGTTCTGGCCGGAGAGGGCCTTTTATCAGTTATAGTATTAAAGTTGAAAAGCGGGCAATGATTACAAGTTCATCCATTCCAGGATTCAAACCAGTTGTACGGAGGACATCGCCGCATGCGGGCCACCGGCTCTATCCACTGGGCTATCTATTCTTTAAACTGTTGAACTTTGTTTTTAATACTCATAATTGTCTTTTTGTTCACAACTTCTCCACATTTTTAAGTGTTTCCCGAGCCAGAACGACCTATTTTTCTTCCTGGCTTGCTCTATAATGATCCAATACAAATGCAATACCAACAACAACAGCAACAACGCAAACTACGACAACAACCCACACATTGCGCGTTAAAGTGTTGAAGCGCTCAAATTTGAAACTGTTTCAACCTGTCACCTGTCAGAATCGAGACGAGGCAGTGCATTGAATGAATCACCTGATTGGACGGCAAACCAGTGAGTTGATTCATTCAGGAAACAAAGCAGTTGCTGCTTCGGACGTCATATGTCACGTGATTTGAAGCAAGCTTCGAAGCACTGCTTCTATGGAATAGGAAAACCAGGGTTTGAAGCACGTATCGAAGCGAAGCTTCAGTGTCAAACTGCCATCACTAGCTCAAACCTTTCTCTCTCGCAGGGTTTACCACAAGGACATTACGTTACATATATTCTCTCCAGTAGCCTACAGTGTTAGCTTCATGGTTAGCTCTGAGTGTTAGCATGCTTGCTAATGTAAACACATGGCATATTACTCCCAAAACACGCCGCGCTTTGTTTCTGATACAGCACATAGCTTGACATGTTCTTTCTTAAGTGTTTACCGCTAGAACAGTGCCGTTATATGTATTATATATATATATATATATATATATATAACAACTTTACTCTTAGTGCCTCCTGCAGACATCCTGCTGAATACACAGACACACAGCTGCGGCTGTATACGGAGACGATAGGTTGGGACGTGTCACGTGTGCCGGAGACGATAGGTTGGGACGTGTCACGTGTGCCGGAGACGATAGGTTGGGACGTGTCACGTGTGCCGGAGACGATAGGTTGGGACGTGTCACGTGTGCCGGAGACGATAGGTTGGGACGTGTCACTTCGGCCGGATGTCGCCAATGACGTTATAGGAGAGAACATTCTGGATCTGCTTGTTAGCACCCCCTTTTGTTTCTGTTTTTTTTTTAGAGATGTGGGTACGGAGGAAAAGAGAGAGGGTGTTGTTTTCTGACACTTTGTGAGTTCCCTGACACACATATTTATGTATAAAAGACATCAAAAAGTGCATTTTGCGAAATAGGTCCCCTTTAAGTATGATTTTGGTTAATGACATAATTCTGTTCCACCACTTCATATAACAATTTACAAACAGCAGCGTTTTCCAAAAATGACCCACCCTGTATTAGAGCCAGTGTGTGTGTGTGTGTGTGTGTGTGTGTGTGTGTGCACGTTCACCTTCAGGATGATGTCTCCCTCCTGCAGGTTCCCGTCTTTGGCAGCCAGGCCCGTGCTGGTCATCTGTTTGATGAAGATCTGACTCCCAAGGCGCAGCCCGTACTCTGCACACACACACACACACACACACACACACACACACACATTCAGACCACACCACACACACACACACCACCACACACACACACACAGCACACACACACACACACACACACACACACACACACACACACAGCACACACACACTCACACACACACACACACACACACACACACACACACACACTACACACACACACACACACTCACACACACATAATCACACCACACACACACACACACACACACACACACACACACCCACACACACAGCACACACACCACACACACAGCACACACACAGCACACACCACAACACACACCACACACTTTAGTTTGGTTTCCTATATTTTCTTCCATTTTGTTTTGCCTTCTAATAAATCAAATAACTATGCACATCTTCCACTGCACTGTAACTTCTCATTTTATCTCTTGCTATTTTAGTTTGTTTTATAAAAGGACATATTCTGCTCATTTTTAGGTTCATATTAGTATTAAGTTTCTCTACTGCCCCTAAGCCTATCACGTACAATGTTTTGGAGCGCTAGCCAATAGAAGCACAAGTGTTACCCCAGGTTTAGTAAAAACAATCAATAAAAAACAAATGTGTTCCACCCATAGCATATCATCATCATACCATGTCGGAGCTCAAGCCAATAGAAGTGTGAAGTGGGGGGGATTGTGTGGGAAAGAAACTCCCTTTGGGGGGAACACAGGGATTTTAAACTTTACAGACCATTTACAATGCACACAAAGCTGTATAACACATCACAGGAGAGGGAACACCCAAAAAGCTGAATAGAGCCTCTTTCACTTTGTATTCTCTTGGCTTTTCAATGAGTGTTTGGAAATGTATGTAAATGTCATTTCATAATGTGTTTCTGTTGCATTAAATCGAATTGCTATAAAGGTTTTTTGTAAAGCTCTTTGGAGTTGCATTGTATTGAAATGTGCTATATAAAATAAAAACTTCCCTTGCCTTATTTGAAGCGATAGACTAAAAACAGAAAGATTTGTATTGTGTACAGATTGTAAAGTCCCTTGAAGTAAAGTTGTGATTGTTCTGCTTTTAGATATTACTAAATACAATCTGTATTGAATAGTAAGAACTCTATTTTTTGTAGTTTTTCAAAAGTATTTCATTTTGGTTTTGCAGCAGTTATGGGAGTTTAAATGTTGCTTAGTTTAAATATCGTGGGGTAGTTTCAGTATAACTTTGTAAATGTATACTGCAACATTGTTACTCCGTAGCATTATTGCAATTGTATTACCTTAAACCTGTAATATAAATCGACTTTTAGATAGTTTGATTGTTTTATGTCAATAACATGCTAACCACTATGTAGATGCAAACCGTTTTGGAACAATATTTATGTTGAAATAAATATTATACCATAAAAAAAACCCTGCATATGCAAACACTACAAACTAGGGTTCTTTATTTGTTATATTTCTTTAAATCAAGCTTAATTTCACTACACCAATTGGGACGTTGTTGTTACATAAAAAAATTAAAGATCAAATTCATTTACAGGTTTTATTGCATAAAATAATAAAAAAAGTTAAAGTAACACCCAGCTACTTTGAGCGAGTGGGTGTCACAGCTGATTCCCTGCTGGGTTAGTGAGGGGTGAATGTTAGAAGAGCTAAGGAGATCTTTCCTTTGATAATTAAGCCTCCACGCCTCCACCAGGAGCTGCTGTTACAGACACTAGTATAGAAAGGGACTCTTGATGTGTGCTACAGTATCTTAAAGAATCACAGAAATGATTAAATAATGAGGTGATGTTACACTTATTGTTCTGTAGCGATCTGAGCAGAACAGTACCTAATCAAAGTGTAGTCCTAGTTACACTGAACAAAAATATAAACGCAACACTTTTGTTTTTGCTCCCAATTTTCATGAGATGAACTCAAAGATCTAAAACATTTTCTATATACACAAAATAACCATTTCTCTCAAATATTGTTCACAAATCTGAACAAATCTGTGATAGTGAGCACTTCTCCTTTGCCGAGATAATCCATCCCACCTCACAGGTGTGGCATATCAAGATGCTGATTAGACAGCATGATTATTGCACAGGTGTGCCTTAGGCTGGCCACAATAAAAGGCCACTCTGAAACGTGCAGTTTTGCTTTATTGGGGGGTCTGGGGGGGTCCGAAAACCAGTCAGTATCTGGTGTGAGGGGTAGGGTTAGGGTAATGTTGTGAATCGAGTGGCCCATGGTGGTGGTGGGGTTATGGTATGGGCAGGCGTATGTTATGGACGACGAACACAGGCCACTTGATTCACAACATTACCCTAACCCTAACCCTACCCCTCACACCAGATACTGCCTGGTTTTCGGACCCCCCCAGACCCCCCCCAATAAAGCAAAACTGCACGTTTCAGAGTGGCCTTTTATTGTGGCCAGCCTAAGGCACACCTGTGCAATAATCATTCTGTCTAATCAGCATCTTGATATGCCACACCTGTGAGGTGGGATGGATTATCTCTGCAAAGGAGAAGTGCTCACTATCACAGATTTTTTTCAGATTTGTGAACAATATTTGAGAGAAATGATTATTTTGTGTGTATAGAAAATGTTTTAGATCTTTGAGTTCATCTCATGAAAAATGGGAGCAAAAACAAAAGTGTTGTGTTTATATTTTTGTTCAGTGTATAATGTAGAGGTGGGAGAAGTACTCAGATCTTGTACTTGAGTAAAAGTAGAAGTACCAGAGTGTAGGAATACTCTGTTACAAGTAAAAGTCCTGCATTCAAAATGTTACTCAACTAATAGTAGAAAAGTATCAGCATCAAAATATAATTAAAGTACCAAATAGTAAAAGTAGTCGTTGTGCAGATTGGTCCATTTCAGAATAATATATATGATATGTTTTATAATGATTGATCATGAAAGTGTTCTCAAAGCTGGTAAAGGTGCAGCTAGTTTGAATGACTTTGTATACTGCAGGGTAGATTGTGGATTTACTCCAGGTGGAACTAAAGTCTGATTTAACACTTGATTATATTTCACATCATTCATCCACATCTGTAAAGTAACTAAAGCTATTAAATACATGTAGTGCAGTAGAAGTACACAATTTGCTCTGTTTAATACAGTGTATGTTTGAAAATGGCAGTGGAGAAAATCTTAAAAAGCATAATTATAATTATTGTGTTTCTTTTGGGGCTGCATCATCTGGAAAAAATAACTATTTGCAAATATTTTGACTGATATTGCAATTGCAAAAGGATTTGCGATATAAGCAGGGATTATCTTTTTTTCCCACTATATCCTTGAATAATATTTTTTAAATGATAATTGTGTTATTTTTAGGGCCGGGACTTTAACGCGTTAATTAAGATTAATTAATTACACAAAGATTAACGCGTTAAAAAAATTAACGCATTTTAATCGCACTTATTTTTGCACCGCGGAACGTTTCTCACTGGATGAGTTTCAGGCGTACCGATTATACTGGAGCACCAACTAACGTTCATGACTTCAGACAACAACAAACCACAGTGAACAACAGTGGGAAATGTTGTTTTAAAAAACGGACGGATGGAAGCGTCGATAAGAGCACGGTTGTGTGCAAATTATGCAAAAAGGAATTCGCATATCACCGCAGCACATCAAGCCTCAAGTATCACCTCAATGCAACACATATAGCAGCTAGCGTGGAAGCTAGCGTGGACGTTAGCCTCTTTTATCGCGTTCACACCAAAAAGAGCCGGTACTAAAATTAGTTCATGAGAACCTTTTTACCCCCACGAAAGTCCCTGCTAGAGAGCAGAGAGCTGCTAGAGAGCAGGGACTTTCGTGCGGCTCTCTTGTGAGAAAAGAGCTATATTTCTGATTGGCTGGGTGGATTGCAAACCACGCCCCGTAAAACTCCCAAAAAGTTTTGTGAAGCCGCCATTTTATTATCCTCGCATTAGCATTATTAGCATTAGCCCAGCGCAGAAACGCAGAGAGACTAACTTATGGCAACACAAAATAAAACATGGGAGCGGTGGAGATGAGGAGGTGTCGGCGTTCTGGCGATTTACTCGGAAGGCTGCTGGGACTCCCAGCAGCTTCTACTGAAGCCAGTCCCCAACTCCGGGGACTTCCGGCCGGGGACTTTGGGCGGCAGTATACGCCGTGAAGTGATTTGCGGCCTGCCAGTAAACCCAAAGCAGAAGAAGAAGAAGTGACGTCAGCGGCTTCATTTGCCTAATCCACCCCCAGGTTCAAAGAGTTCTCATGAACTAAATTCTCATGAACCTTTGTGGGAAAAGTACTGCGGTGTGAATGCGCCTAATGGTATACTAAAATCCATGTGAAAAAAAATTGCTTCTCACTGTTCTTAGGTCAAATATGTATATGCGATTAAAAATGCGATTAATTTCGATTAATTAATTACAAAGCCTCTAATTAATTAGATTAATTTTTTTAATCGAGTCCCGGCCCTAGTTATTTTGTTAAGAGGATCGGTACCAAAGAAGACATTTTTCACAAGTCTGTAGAATGCAGTTTGTATTCCGGCACTTCGCTGAAGCACTACAATACTTTATTTATATATTTGTATATATTTTAAGTATTTTGCTCTGATGAACTGTGCAGCCCTGGTTTCTGTGTATCCAGTCATGTGACCTTTGTTAAACAGGGGCGTCTTCTGCTCTCTTACCCTCGCTGGCTCTGTTCTTCACCAGAAGCACGTTGACGGGTTTGTCCAGCGGCTCCAGCTCTCTGGAAGGTTCTGGGGATGGAGGGTTGTCATTGAGCCGGTCCCTGCTCTTATACCTCCCCCCTCTTCCTCCCTCTTCTTCTCCTCTCTCGTACTTGTCCTCGGTGCGGGACCCCTCCCCGGGGCTGCGTCCTCGGCTGTGGTACCTCTGGCGATCTGCGCTGCTGTCCAGGGCCCGCCCCCGGCTGCCGTCCCTCCTTGGTCTGTCGGGGCTGGGGGAGCTCCTCTCCTGGCTCCGCCCACGGCTCCTCCCTCTCTGGTTGGAGTCCCGCCCCCCCCCGTACTCGGGGTCCAGGTATGCTTTGCTCTCTGAGATGTGTTCGCGGTCCTGGTCGCGGTACCAGCTGTTGTCATTGTCAGCGTCGTAGTAGTGATTGGAGGGGGTGTACGCCCGACTGTCTGCACCTGGGGAGGAGGGCTGCTTCATTGAGTGCACTGCCGACTTACGGGGTCTCTTCACTGTCTGACAGAGAGAAGGAAAAAAAAAATGCTTTAATACATTACATTAAAAAGGCCCAAACACTCCTTCACTGACACCAACCACCATTCTCCACATTTATTAGAGAAGACCTGTTCTGCTTTTTGGGTTCTCCCTTCCCTGTAGTGTGTTCTATAGGTTTTAGTACATGTCAATGTTCTGCAAAGGCTAAAATCCCTGTGTTCCCTCCAGAGGGAGTTTCTCTCCCACACACTCCCCTCCCGCCTGAAACACGTCCTCCATAGGATTCCTTTGTTTACTTCCGTAACATAACGACATCACTATAACCATCGTGCTTGTTACTAATAGACTAAGGGGAGGGACATCTCTAAGCGGTTGACCAATCACAACATATTCGTGATCAGCAATCACTGATTTACATCACTATATATGCATATATCGCAGCCTTTTGCTGTTATACAATTCCAGAGGCTCATATCGGGATTGCGATTGAATTAATCGTGCAGCCCAACTATATATATATATATATATATATATATATATAGTGGGGTCAGATATGAGCCTCTGGAATTGTAGAACAGCAAAAGGCTGTGATTTAATGCATGTCATTTCATACATCATTGTAGTGGCCAATTGTCCAAAAAAGAAATGTTCAAAGGACACTTAGTCCAGGAGGCGAATTTGAGTATTGGCTTGCGTATATTCAAGAAATCCAAATACCTTGCTCGTTGCATTCAAGTGCTTTATTAGGAGGTTCAATGGATCAGCTGGTGGCCCAATGCCGACGTGCAACCTTTGCACGGCATTTAAACATACACTGAACAAAAATATAAACGCAACACTTTTGTTTTTGCTCCCATTTTTCATGAGATGAACTCAAAGATCTAAAACATTTTCTATTTACACAAAATAACCATTTCTCTCAAATCTGAAAAAATCTGTGATAGTGAGCACTTCTCCTTTGCCGAGATAATCCATCCCACCTCACAGGTGTGGCATATCAAGATGCTGATTAGACAGCATGATTATTGCACAGGTGTGCCTTAGGCTGGCCACAATAAAAGGCCACTCTGAAACGTGCAGTTTTGCTTTATTGGGGGGGTCCGAAAACCAGTCAGTATCTGGTGTGAGGGGTAGGGTTAGGGTTAGGGTAATGTTGTGAATTTAGTGGCCCATGGTGGTGGGGTTATGGTATGGGCAGGCGTATGTTATGGACGACGAACACAGGCCACTCGATTCACAACATTACCCTAACCCTAACCCTACCCCTAACCCTAATCCTACCACTCACACCAGATACTGACTGGTTTTCGGACCCCCCCCAATAAAGAAAAAATGCACGTTTCAGAGTGGCCTTTTATTGTGGCCAGCCTAAGGCACACCTGTGCAATAATTATGCTGTCTAATCAGCATCTTGATATGCCACACCTGTGAGGTGGGATGGATTATCTCGGCAAAGGAGAAGTGCTCACTATCACAGATTTTTTCAGATTTGTGAACAATATTTGAGAGAAATGGTTATTTTGTGTGTATAGAAAATGTTTTAGATCTTTGAGTTCATCTCATGAAAAATGGGAGCAAAAACAAAAGTGTTGCGTTTATATTTTTGTTCAGTGTATAAATAAACAAATCCCAGTCCTACGGATGTGTGCGGTCAAAAACGTTTTCCAACTTCCTCTCTAGACTTCCTGCTGTGTCATGCTGGCGTCATTTATACCTGAGCACGCTACTACAATCTGCTTTCTATAAATAATAACAAAACATAAAACTAGAGCTGTCCATAAGCAAGATAAAACGTTACAAAAACAGTATAATAATAATTCATAGTTATTCAGCTCATTTAAGTTAAATTAAAGAATATTCAATTGGCTCACCAAACCATAATTCATTACCATCAAATAATGTGCCTAAATGGCTCTTACATTTCCGGCCCCTAATTATAAGGCAGGGAGACTTATAATGAAATTAAGTTATAGTTAATAAAAAGTAATTTCCAAACAAAAATATGGCTAACAATTAGCTCAATTATACTCCTGGCAAACAACATTTGCATTTACTTATGGGAGAGGAATCCACCTACACTCCTTAATATAGGTTTTCAATTAAACAAACGTAAGTGTCCTATTCACAAATGAGGCAAAGTCTTTCTACAGGCCTCTCCAAAGTACTGGATTTTGTTTTTACGAGTACTCTACAAACCAGTCCTTTAGAGTCTGCCCTGGTCTGCACGACTCTTCCCAGAAGCCACAAGCTCCAAGGGGCGTTGTCGTCCAGGATAAAAAACGTTCCTGACTTGCGTTTCGGCAGATCCCTGCAGGTCACCAAAGGGAGGGTCAGCAAGGATTTTGGCTTGTCTATCCACGAAGTCGACCAGGTCTTTGAATCTCACTCTTCCCTGGCTCCTTTCTTGGATCTCGAATGCCAGCACCCTCCATCTTTCTCTCAATTTATAGCGTAACTTTGAGATGATAACTCTCATATTCGTAGGGTTATCCAGCTCCTTCATGTAATCCACATCCTCCAAGGCGTTTCTGCAACTTAAAAGGAATATGGAAAACTTGTTGAGTGCTTGTGAGTCCTCTGGTTTTATTTTAGAACCCTTTCCATCAAAGCGGTGGCAATTTTCAGTGGGTTGCCGTAGCTGTTATATCAGACTGCTTCTTGATTACTTTGCATATGTCCTTTTCATAGTCACTTTGTTGCTGATGAGCCCCACTGGCTGATGTATTTGAGTCCAGAGCCTTTGGTGCTTTAGGTCTAGCTCCAAGTGTTCAATTTACCGACAACAGCTGTTTTACCCAGTGGCTCGAACTCCAATGGAAAGGCATGAAGAGTAGCGTGACAGCCTGCAGTCCATGTCCACACAGTAGAGAATAATGACCAATAGCTGACCAATCAGTCTCTGTTTGGGGAGAGAAGCCTGTGCTCTGTTCAGTCAAACGATGAGCCAGAGACTAGTGGAAATGGATTCTAACCTGACGTTTAACTTACTGTTTGCTAAAGAAAACGCAACCTCTGTTGTCTGTCGGTTCTCTGGTTTTAAGCTCAGCTGCATTGGGTTGCTACATCACACGGCAACACAAAAACATTTTTACCAGCTACTTAAACAGCACAGAATAATGCGTACCAGTGAAAGTTTCGACTAATAAAGACACAGCCGAAAGCCAGCATGCAAGCCAAACTAAGCAAAGCACATTTACAGATGCCTTCACAAGCATTACGCTATACTACAGGTCCTAACACAGGTAGCTGCATGAGACCTGTGAGGAGCATCAGGATCATTTAAGGGGTGAAAGACGGAGATCCAGGAGCCAGGATGGTACGGCCATTTCATTAAGAAGCAGACAAACTCAAGGACGAGCTTTGTGTTTAGGGTTGCTGTGGCGACAAATACTTGGCTCACTGAAGAGCTGACAGTCATTTACTGTTCATTAGACCTGGATGAGAACTGAATACACAACAGAGCAGCATCACCATAACCAGCCCAACATAAAACTAATGGAACATTTGTGGAGCTCACATAAAGAAACAAAAATGTTGAAGAAGATGTGTATTATTTAAATAATAAAAAAAAGGAATAAAGATAGTCTTTATCCGGTTTGTTCAAAAGACGAAAGACTATCTCTGAGAGAAAAGCATAAATAGGAAACGTGGATAGTGTGTCTCAGGCAGGAGTGAAGATACAGCTGCATGATGTGTAAGTGGCTGTTCAGAGCAGCAAATCAGATTCCCTCGACATGTCAGGCTTTTATATTTAGCTGTATGCAGCAGCCAGATTAGTCCAGTGCACACACGGGAGAGGACTGCTGCTACTTTTAGAGAAGCAGAAACACGAGAGAAGAGGCAGTCAGGCAGGAAAACACGCACACACACTCATTTTACATATATGGAAACTCTGCAGGCGACAAAAGTGTGTTGTGGCAGAGAAACTCCCTCTGGAGAGAAGTTGGGGATTTTAGCCTTTATTTGCATTTACTTTAACCATTTAGATACACAGAACCTATATAAACCCACTAGAGGAAAGGGAGAACCCCACAGAGCAGAACAGGGCCTCTTCAACTCTGCAGAAGGAGACTGCATAGTGTGTGGTTCATACTCACTATTTTAGCCACTTTACCACATTTACGGAGGGACTGCACAGCGAAGGAATGAGGCACGTTGTCCATGGGGATGGAGTTGACCTGAATGACACGATCATTCTCACTAGACAACAAAAAGAAAACACATAAAATAATAATAAGACAACTATGAAAACTAAATAAAAATCTGAATGTCACATCAACAATGTTTCACCAAAAATAGAGTCTTGCTTTGTGCCAAAAAGTTGAAATTAAATGTAGAATGCTTTTTTTTAAAGATTGATTTATGAGTCAGTCAGAGACCAATGTCTCTGGACTTTATGTTCAATTCATTTCCTGAAATAAATAAGAACTGAGCTGCTGCAGCACAAGCTCTTTGAAGATCATAATATTTAGCAAGATATCATGAGCAGATCTCCTGCTGGTTCACTAAAATATAGGAAATACAAAATATATTCACTACAATGATATGATATAGCATGGTCAGACAGGGTGGCTGCACATGTGAAGAGAATGCACTGAGCTTTGATGAGATGATGACAGATGATCTGACCATGTGATGGGAGTCAGCAGCTACAGATGCTGCACACTTTACAAGCAGCATCAATGGTATACACTTCCTGCTTCGTTAGTGGGCTAATGTATTTATTTATATTTTCTTTAGCTAATATTGGATGTTTATATAACTACACATATGAAGCATTACAATAAAGATCGCTTTGGTGGTATAGGCCCAAAATACACATGGTTTTTGTCCTGATCGGGACTTAAAACTGCGACCCTTGGACTTAACTACTGCTTCAATTTACATATATATATATATATATATATATATATATGGTTAGCTATGGTGTTTGCAAACGTAAGCTTAAAATGTTGCCACTAATATTGACTATTATTTCGCGAATTCTCTCTAAGCGCACAGCATCTTGTAATTTCTGCGTTATTATGATGTTGCAAATCCAGCTGCCTCAGCAGACATGGAGGAGGAGAGTGAAGGAGTAAATACAGAGCAGGAAGAACTCTGGTTATTTTTGACAGTGTTTCGTTTTTAAAATGTGATCAAATCCTGCAGGAAACGTCATTTTTCTTAAGATATACTCTAGAAAATGTGTGACTTTTTTAATGCACTGACTTGTTGTTTGCATGGGAGTTCCAAATAATGAAGGAAATTATTTAAATGTGACTAAGTATGTTTGTTTTCTTTAAAAAGTTGTATTAATCTAGTTTAAAGAACAATTACTGTATTGTAACCGTGATTTAAAATGACACATAAGGTGATGGAAGATATTGGCCATATCAGGCTCTCAGACCTATTATTACTGTTTTTTGCATTTCCCCCCAAAACGTGCATAAGCCCTCATCTGACCTTCCCTTTGAAAGGTTTCTGGAAATGTACAGACCCTTTGCTGCCCTACACAGCAGCCCCCCTAGTCCATCTAGCTTTGTCAGACTTACAAGAGTAATCCGTCTGCTGGGCCCCCCTGCAGCACGTCTGACACGATGATGGACGTCTCACCATTGTCCACGTTGGGGTTGTCACGCCCACCTGACACCGCGATGCCGAAACCCATCTTAGTGTCCTGCGGAAAATGGAATCACACAGTACATTCAGACAGAATGATATACAGTCCACACTAACAACACTGACCCTCTGGACTGAGAGGAGACAGGGTTGAAGCTCTGAGCCTCCTGCGCCTCACATGACACGCTGAAGTTAGGATACAGATCATGGTTTAGGTAAAACATTGAAAAAATAAACAGGTCATGTTTCATGCTTTGAGTCAGCATTGACTTTTTATTGACTTTTATCCAGTGTCTGATTGTGCCCCAGAAAAACAACACAGCCGTTAGCTCTTAGCACTCAGAGCTCACAGCTCTTCATATCTGTTCAGAAACTAGACAAAAGTTAAACAAGTACAAACCACAGACTGCCTGTGTCATGGCGAATACAGTCGCTGGTTTATTTATGTCTGTAGGCCGTTGTTGTGAGTGTGGACGGTCGGAACATATATAACGTTAGCTTAGCCAATCTCCATTCAGAAAACACGCATTTTAAAAGGTTTTTCGCCTGCCGTCTGTCTGCAGACTTGTCAAAGCATTAATTCATGGTTTTTACTAACCGGTATCAGTATGTTGTTACTTCGGCATCATTTTGAAACGTGTATTACAATTAAATCACGGTCAAATATGTTCATCTTGTTGTAGTTGTAGCCCCCTTGCCAGCGATTCTCTCTCTAGTTTAGCATACTCAGCCCGACTCAGCCTGGTTGTTCCTGGCCCTAGAACCACGATTTAGTCGGGCCAGAAAAAAGGTGAAAAAGTAGCCCCGGGCCAAAACTAGGCCAAGTGGAAACCCAACCAAAAACGGGCCCCGCACGGCTCGGCACGCTTAAAGCGAGCTACCCGCTGCAGTGGAAACGCCTTATTGTCTCATTATACCGTACTCTCAATGAATTCAAAGTAAATATGTGGGGGAACAATGTTCAGCTGATCTAACAGAGATACAGCGCTATGACAAAACACTCGACAGCTGATGCAGCTGTTGCCACGTAATAATGAACGGACGTCGCTTTAATATGACCGCTCAGAGGAGAGGAGTTCTCATTTCTTTAAACGTCTGCTGCTTCCCCTCCTCTCTCCTCGGTCCTCTGCTCGCATCTCCTGTGGGCGGGACTAAGGCCCTGGTTGCGTTCCAATAGTCCATTTAGCTTAGGAACCTTCCTAACCAAGTGAAATGACCCGGAAGTCCCTCAGTGGCAGCCATGTTAAGTGCCGTTCAAATTCTCCAAATGAAAGGAAAGGAGGTTTCAAACTTCCTTTATAACCTCCTTTAGCTTAGGAACCACTGGACCTCCCTCCCTTGACGAAAGGAGAGGAGAAAATGCTGCCCCACAATGCATTGCAGCCGCAGCATTTGCCGTCACTCAACAGTCGGCCGTTCACGGAAACAACCGATTATGACGGAGAAATGATATCATGAAAGTTACGGTGCTTATTAAGCATTTTAAAACGTATGTGGTAAGTTGCTAAGTGCTTTGTTTTGAATGTTCATCAGTATTATAATCAAAAAGAGAAATATGAACGTTAGTTTTTACTGAAATGATCAAATAAAGTCAACATCTCACAGTCTTTACTGAGCTGTGTGGGGTTTGTTCAACTTTTCAAAGATGTTTGAATGGTGATATACACAGTGATAGATGGTAAGGACTAACGTTTATAATAAATACATTTGTATTGATTTTAAGATATTTTCATAGTTCATACAATCATACGTATGGGATCATTTGTATTAATGTGGACCGGAGGGAGAGGGTGACGAGCATAAGTTTCACTTTTCTTTTTTATTTCAATTCCAACTTTGGTCATGAAGAATATGTTTCTCTGTTGTCCACATTCATAAAGCATATAACAACAGCATCAGAGCACGGTGCAGAGTCTCTAGATGAGTTTACAGTAGTCCCTCGTTCTTATTAAACATCCATGTTGTAGTCCGCTGTATAGAAAACTGTAGTTTCCATAGTTTCCCCACAGCAGCAGACGCACATTCATGACGTCCGCTGGCGCATCATAAACACGTCGGATAGTGAAAGTGCATTCGGATTCTCTAAAGTACCGCGGTCTCTTCTCCTAAGTCCTTTTGAATTCTCCTATCCACCATCCCTTAAACCTGTGACGTTTCACTCAGAGGTTAAGGAATAGGAGATAGGGTTAGAATTTAGGAGCTGATTTTTGGATTATCGGAACGCAACCCCTGTCTCAGGTCGCCTATTTTCATTTCCTCGCTCCTCGGTCTTGGTCTCACCGGAAGTTGATTTGTCTGCGCCATCTTGAGTAACGTCCCATGGCTCTTATTTCTGCCGGAGGAGCGAGGATCGAGGAGCGATAATGGAGGAGCGATAACCGAGGAACCACCAGTCCATCCTCTGATGAAATCCTCAGATACTCGCCCCGCCCCCTTACTGTGTATCGCTCACTGATTGGACGATGCAGTGCATGCACTGATCTCACGCTTCTTGACATGAGAGCAGTACCCCAGCGGAGTGTAGAAAATAAATGAACCTCACGAGAGTCACTCGTTTTTGTGTTTTGTTTCAATTCATGTTTCATTTAGTTACAAATATGTGATATAGTGGTCAAAAATAATTTTATTCATTTATTGGAAACATTTTCATGATCGCTTTTTTCGTTTTACATTTTCATTTATTGTCATTTCCATTCAGTCAGTCATTAAGTGCTATTAAAATGTTAATGTGCTACATATCCACACAAACACACAAAGTGTGCAATCCAATGAATGTTAATATAACTGGGTTTTGATAGATAACATATCTCTTTTTCTTCTCTCAATTATTTTATTTCTTTTGTGCACTCTAATCGTATTAATCAAACTATTGTTCGTTTATACATTTTAAGAATGGCGTTTATCTTTTTTGAGAATTAGTTCTTATTTTATTTCATGTATTTGGATCTACAACAGATGATACAAATGTTTGTGTCAGTAAATGTGTACTAACAGAGGCGGGGGTGTGTGTGGAAATAACGGGGACAGAGCTGCTGTCAGACGATCAGCTGTGCAGCGTCATCACAAACGGACGTCGCTTCACGTGACGCTCCGGAGGAAAGGACGTCCCATTGCTCTTAAAACTCATTTCCCTGCTTCTCGTGGTTTCCTTGCATCTCTCCATGCTTCCCTGGTGGGAGGGACTAGTCGCAGGGAAACGACGCAAGTGAGGGAAGCAAGGATTTCATTTAATCGACCTGAGACGGGGCTTAAGTCTCGAGGAGGGGAGTCGAGGAGGGGAAATTTAAGAATTGAGAAGCCTCTCTAGATTCCACCGGGTCCGTCTGCGCCGCGTTACAGCGATCGCGGCCACTCTAGTCAATGGGTGCTATTCCCACCGCGTTACGGCTAGAAGCGTCTCGACGCTAGGCTCCGCTAAAAATAGGATGCAAGTCTATTTTCGACGCGACGCGAGGTGTCAGGAAGTGGACCGGTCTGAGCATCCAGTCAATCGCCAAAATAAACTAATTTTGCAGACCCTATCCCTCAAGTAGGAGGAGAAATGCCAGCGTTCTCCTCCGGTTTACAGGCACTGTGTAGGCTACATATATATAGAATAATTATGATGATGAATGAATTTTTGTTACCACTAAAATACAGCAACACATCTTTGATTAATGTCGTTTATAACTGGAATATTACAATTATTATTAACTTTGTCTGCACAAAGTAGCCTGTCGAGGAAATATGCCCAGATCAACAAAAACTGCGAGCCGGCACGCAAGACGCTCTTGCTCCGCTTCTGAAACGCGCACGGTGGGTTATGACGCTGGAGGAGGTCGGACCAAAACCGCGGCGCAGACGGACCCGGTGGAATCTAGGGGTAATTGTAGCATAGGCATAGCTGTCACAAATGGTAACCCCACATAATTCCGGACCCATTTAAATAGCTCTTCTTAAAGTTGCAATTATGTAACTCAGCTGTTCCTACATACAGCCATCACACAGTATACTGAGTCCTCTGTACTAATGCTGACATGTTGGCTCCCTCTCACTGCGGAGGTTACCTGTTGGTAGGCAGCTGGTCCCTCCGTGGGCTTTTGGTGAGTATTGCTAACACTAGCTAATAGCTGCTACATGTTAGCATTTATTTATATGCAGTCTATGGTTAGCACACAGCAGCAGCGGGCCCCAACCTAGCGGCCGTCAAGACGGAGGTGAGCTATGTGCAGGGCGGGACCAGCTCAGTCTGTCACCTGAATAGAAGACGTTTCCTTTTCCCCTCCGCCCCAGCCTGGAGGCTGGAGCTGAAGTGTCCCGCCTCAGTGCTGTCAGTGGCCGGTCCCTGCTTCACCTCACCGCTAATCTCCACCGAGCAGGCAGTGCGCAGTGACACTGTTGGCATGGCATCAACTGTACCGCAGCACACTGACTGGGACTGACCCACTGAGAATATACAGTACAGTATAAACCAGCGGTGGGCAGGACATTTGAAGTACTATTTTGAGGTACTTGTGCTTTACTTTAGCAATTACATTTATGCTACTATATGCACTCCTGGTTCTACCCCACTACTATTCAGAAGTAAATACTGTACTCCACTACATTTAGGCTAATTAATATCTTTAGTTACTACTTTACAGATTTGTAAAAGGCATTCAAAGTAGCTGCACCTTTACCAGCTTTGATAACAATTTAATGCAACAATAATTATAAAACACATCATATATTGTTCTGATTGACCACCTATCTGCAGAATGACTACTTTTCCTTTTGGTACTTTAAGTATATTTTGACTAATACTTTTACTTCAGTAACATTTCGATTGGAGGAGTTTTACTTGTAACAGAGTATTCTTACACTCTGGTAATTCTACCTTTACTTAAGTACAAGATCTGAGTACTTAGATCACCTTTGCTTGTACTTTACTTAAGAATTTATATTTCATGCTACTTGATACCTTTACTCCACTACATGTCCTACTTTTTACACCACTTGATGTCAGACACAGTCCCTTTTAACATAATACAATTCAGGATTTGTACATGCAATGAGTTATTGTATTTCTACTTAACTAAAGATTTAAACATCTGGAAATTGTATTATTATTAAATCATTTTTATTCGTCAAGTATTTCAATTATTTATTAAGCAGAAAACATGCTTTATCATGATATATATATATCATTATGAATGTATGTTGGCAGCCCCATGCTGCGAATGGATCTGGCCCTTCCTACATCCAGGACATGGTTAAACCGTACACCTCAGCGCGTGAACTACGCTCTGCATCAGCCAAACGACTCGTTGCGCCCTCGCTGCGAGGGGGACCCAAGTTCCCATCGGCGAAAACACGTGGGTTTGCTGTCCTGGCTCCAAGATGGTGGAATGAGCTCCCCATTGACATCAGGACGGCAGATAGCTTGCACATCTTCCGGCGCAAACTGAAAACTAATCTCTTTCGACTCCACTTCGAGCGTTAGAACTATTAACGAAGCACTTTTATACTAATAAAGGACTGGCTTATCTAAAGCCAGTTGAGTAGCACTTGAAATGTTTGGCTCTATGAAACCTGATGTACTTATATGATTCTGTTTTCTTCAAGGTTGTGTCTTCCTGGTTGAATGTACTTATTGTAAGTCGCTTTGGATAAAAGCGTCAGCTAAATGCAATGTAATGTAATGTAATGTAATATCTCTCAAGTATAGATGCCAACCTTTATCTTTAATATCATCATGACTTGACGCTTGGGCAGGGAACATAGTGGCCGACCCCTCCCGCCCTGGACACAAACTGTTCATCCCCCTCCCCTCTGGCAGGAGGCTGCGCTCCATCAGGACCAGAACCTCTCGCCACCTGAACAGTTTCTTCCCCTCCGCTACCGGCCTCTTAAACAAGGCCCGGCCCCCCCACTGACACTTTACCTCAGCCACAACGCAGACGTGTTGCCACAATGCACACAATGTTTAAATATTGCTTACTGCACATTTTATATTCTATAAATGATTGCATTCTATTTCGATGTAAATTACTGCTTATTTTATTGCTATCTACTATATCCGTGTACTTTTTAAAATCTTTGTTTTTTATTTTTGCGCAATTGACACCTAGTCAAATTCCTCGTACGTGTGAACCTACCTGGCAATAAACCCGTTTCTGATTCTGGTTCAAAAACATTGTCTATGTATGCCAATGAGGCAGTTTGAATGTAATCGTTAGGGCTGCAGGTTGATGTATAGATGGATGGTGTTGGAAGAGATCTTGGCCTGGGCCAGTTAAAGAGTCCGGACCTCCTTCTCAACACTCATAACTTTTTAACTTATTTTGTAGCAGTAAAAGTCTAATAGGTTCAGAGCAAGTCGCTGGAGGCAGACTGAGTACGATGCAAATAACTTTATTTCGTCAAAGACAGAAAACAAAGTCTGAGCAGACCCCGGGATCCTACTGCTAAACAAACGTTGTATTAGCATTTGTATAGCTAAAGCCTCCATGTTTCTTATTGGTTGACCTACAGTAGGTGAAGGACGATAAACCAACTCCCCTATTCTTTGTTGTAACTCTTTTTCGCACATGTTTCCGTGCACGTGTCCATGGCCGTGTTCCCTGCTCTACATTGACCGACTCTTCACCTGGTTAGTTTTCTAGCAGGTGAGAGGAGAGTTTTTACTTTTGTCCATTTTCCCCATTGTAACTTCGTACCCGATTAACTTCAGAGAATGAGAAGAATAGTTGACCGGAACCTTCTAAAAGGTGGCCTTTTCGTTTAACCTTGACACTCTTAATTCCACTGTTTGTGAGGCCTAGTTCGCACAATATGCTCTTAGCATCAATTACCATAATGATCCCATTTTGAGTCCTTTACTACTACATTGCATAACATTATATTCCATGCAACATCTCCTACTACAACAATGGAAGCTGGAGACCAGGTGCAGTGGATGAACTCACCCGCTGCAGAGTGACGGAGTACTGCTCCCACACCATCTCCTCCATCCCCGAGCTCTGCAGGGAATACACACAGCACAGGGTTAGCCGAGCAGACAGCAGGTATACAATGCATTCAGCAGCACAATGCTCTGTGAATAAAGTCAATAACAGGTGCAATAAACAGATGTTTACAGAATAACTAATTAAACTGCTTTCTGAGCCACGGCACAACTCGATTATACACACAGAGATATACATTAGGCAATTCTGTGTGCAGTAAATACATTTAGACCAGTGGGGCAGAGCACACACGCAATTCTTTTTCCTCCTGTATCACATTTTGATTTGTAAGCGTTTCTCAGAATACTTGGTCATAGCCTCTACAGTACATCGATCCTCAGACTCACAATTCCTTTATCTGTCCCGCAACTTGAAACTTACGCTATTATAACAGCAAGAGTGCAGATTAATTAGAAAGAGTAGACTTACATATTATATATATTTTTTTAAATACAATTAAATTAGGCTCACATTTTAAGTTAAAAAAACACAATAAGTACAAAAACAATAACAGAAAAGTACACCATGGTTAAAAACTAACCATGTAGCAGTAAACTACTACTAAGTAGCAGTATAGGTTGAAAATAAATGAGCATCTAAAATGATACAATTAGATTATAGTGTCTACAGATTGAAAAATAAATCAAAAGGATACAAATAATTAAATTGCACACATTTATATACACACATTAGTGCATATTGCACAAAGTTTTATTGCACAAATATTTTATATTTGCAGGCATTAACTACGGTGTACGCTCCTGTAATTATTGTGTTTATGAACCGTGCAGGGATGATGATCACACTTCATCACAGAGCCGATCATTTTGTGTACGTGAGTATGCTAACCATCTTTATTTATTTTTCCTGAAGAAGATCAACGACACATTTCATTTAAGCTGCAATTTTAACCATATCGACAAAAAACAAGTGCAATAATCCAAAAAGATTGAAGTCAGAACAGCTGGAAACATGTAGACCATCTTAGTGCTGGTGTATTTCAACTGAGCTAAAACCCTTTAAATACTAAAATGTTTGTTGGCGTTTGGTTTAATGGCCGGTTGGTTTTCAGTAAGTGACAGAAGATATGAAGACTTTTTGCCGTCCTGATGTCATTTAAACGCTTCTTCCACCATTTTGAAACAATTATACTGGGGTAGCTTTAAGGAATATTGATATAATCAGATAGTACATTTTACACAAATAAGATAAAAGGTTGCCATGTTAAAGTCAAATTTGTGGTCGAGCCACTGACTGTATGTGTAATCTGCTCTAATTTTAGCGTCTGCATTATTACTCTAATCCACCGAGGGAGTGATGGAGGGCAGCTCAGCTCTGCTTCCATTTAAAAAGAATTAACCAAAAACCCTTCCCTCACACTGCTGTGATTTAAGGTAAGACACGCAACACGCAACACACACACAAGTATTTAAGATGTTGTGAACATTCCGTGTGTTCTCCATTCAGACCGGAAAAAGTTATTTTTCATACAGAAATGTCAGATGCTGCTTTCAGCCTCTCAAATGTTCTCCGTTTTAAATATCATATTCAAATTAACATTTTGTCACCTGGGAGCCTGGGATGGACATTTTACACATTTTCCTGACATGTTATCAACCAAACCAATAATCTAGAAAATTATCTGTAGAATAACCGACATTGAAAATAATTGACTTATTAATACATTGAATATTGTGCATTAAATGGTCAGTATAAGAATCTGGCATTCTCGCATCATTATGACGGCTCCTCAATCAAAAAACATTTAAGTCTCTTATTCAAAAAAGGCATTGAATTTGACCAGCGCTCTCCTGAAACACACACGCATTAGACAATCACTGTTTGCACACAAGGTTGACTTTAATTAAATGTATTATGTCTACAGATTTCACATTACTGTATTAGGTTAGTTAAAAGCAAAAATATTTAAAAAAAATAGGTTCAACTTAACATTATTGCTTTCAACTAACCTAATACCTTCTCACTCCTTATCAACCCCTCAGATCCACCGCAGCCGGACTCCTATCCATTCCCACATCCACACTGCAGCTTTGGGGACAGAGCCTTCTCAGTGGCAGCTCCTAGGCTCTGGAATTCCCTCCCCCAAGATCTCCGTGACTCTGAGTCCCTCACAGTCTTTCAGTCCCGCCTTTTCAACTCTGTCTACCCATAAGCCCCCCCCCCACTCTCAATCAACTTCCTCTTGACTGCCTTTTTATTTATTTATTTTACTATACTTACTTGTTTGCCTGTCCTTGTTTGTCTACCCTCCCTCATGCTGTAAAGCGTCTTTGAGTTGTGAAAAGCGCTATATAAATAAAATGCATTATTATTATTATTAATACAGTTATGTAAAATGTGCTGCCATAATACATTTAATTAAAGTCAATGTTTATTTTTTTCGGTGTACTGTACATAGCCACAACACTTTTCTACTTGTGTTTAATTAACTCCATTCTATTGTACTCCAGTGAGGTTTGACATTATTAGTCTGTGCCTGTTGAACCACTGTTAAAAAAGAAATCTGCTCTGTGAGATGCTTTGTTAAGGATAAAGGAGACAATTGTTGTCATGGTTACAAAAACACATATGGTTCAGTTTATGAAATGATAGTGGTTTTACACCTGAAAGACCCCCCTGTCCACCCTGAACTTTGCTCACTCATATTTAATGCAGCCATTAGAGGGCGTTTTCCCCTTCAGTGTATATGACCAATGCTCACAGGTACAATATTACAACCAACACAGAGCCACATGGCAATAACGTTTACCAATCAGCAGTTTGTACTTCCCTTTCCATCACTCCAAACTGTTCATCTAAGTATCATCTAACGGGCTTTATGAGGAACGACAACAACATTGAAGTTCATCTCTTTTTCTCTTCTTCACACAAACATCTGCTGTCTTACCGCCTATCTTACCGCCTAACACACACACACACACACACACACACACACACACACACACACACACACACACACACACACACACACACACACACACACACACCACACACACACACACACACACACACACACACACACACACACACCACACACACACACACACACACACACACACACACACACACACACACACACACACACACACACACACACACACACACACCACACACACACACACACACACACACACACACACACACACACACACACACACACGATGTCCATCAGCTGCCTCTGCTCAAGCAATTTCCTGGAACAATGAAAAGGTCAAAAGACACTAGTGTATGACCTGTCGGGCAGCTTTGTGATATACGTTATTTTTTTATAATAGTTATTTGATTAATTTTAGAGACAATTTTTTTTCTTTTGTAGTTACTTTCTGTAAATTAAGTCAATTGCTTTGCGCATTGTGCCATTTCAAATTAAGCAAACTAGTAAAGGGAGATTTGTATAGAGCGATGAGTAACTTTACTGACAACAGTGCATGTTCTCTGTAACATGAGCTACTCTAACTATAAAAGAAAAGCTCTTTAAAAGATCTCCAGCTCCATTGGCACATTCCAGCAGTAGATCTAATTACTCTGTTAGAAACCGTATATCTTATACCTACTATAATACATTCAAATGAATACATACAGTTGACCCTTTAGGAGGATACAACACATCAGCACACTCTGCTCATTCATCCATCCATCCGTGCATGTCCCACCAATCTGAGCAGACAGGAGTTCCCAGCAGGTGCGTAGAGGACCACCAGGCTGCCATTCAGCTGTATAGTGTCCAGCCCCCTCAGCTGGATCCTGGGACCCCCACCGTTGCTGCCGCCTCCCCCTTCCCTGCTGCAATCTGAGACCACAATCTTGCCCGTCTTGCACCGTTGCCATCTGGGGTAGCCGGCGCAGCAGCCCCTCGGCAGCCACTGCAGACTCATGCCTAGCAGAGGAGCCCCCCCCCACAGGTGTGCCCCCCCTGCCCTGTGGCTCCTACACCCCTGAGTCTCGTGGTTCATCGTCTGGCTCAGTTGGAGTAGTTCAGACGGCATCACAACCAGCTTCCCATAGGAGAAAGTGCTTAACCCCCCTACCTCTGTGTCCTACCTCCAATCTGGATTAGCCTGCGCCGCGGCGGATTAGCCCTGGGAGGGAGGAGAGACTAAAAATAACAGCAGACTCACAGCGCCTCTTCCACCTCCTGCTGCCGTCCTGCGGAGAGTCCTGAGCGCTCGCACCGCGCTCCTCCACTTCCTGCACAGGCCGGACGGCATGGCCAGGTAGGAGCGGGATCCACAGGTTCAAAGGGAGAGCCAGGCTGGAGTCCAACAGAGCACTGTGTCCGTCCCCCCCTCCCTCTGTCTGTCACTGAGCTCCCCATCCTGCTGCTTTTCCTCTCCGCTCTCACTCTCTCCCTCACTTACCCAAACACTCACATTTGTTCTGCCGTACTTGTGAGGACTATGTGCGTCACTTTGTTAGTGACGCAAAAAGTGGTGGGGACCCTTTTTTTCAGATAAAAAAACCCCACTACAGCATGAACCCCCCCCCCGCAAACAGTACATACATAAAGACATACATACACACACAATGCTTAAAATACTTTTGTTGACAACAAGTGCAGTAACTCTGCTACACTGCTGCAAAGTGGGGGCAACAATTTCGTCACTATTCTCTATTCCTAATATTAAATGTGTCTCAGGTCCAAACTGCACCAGAAATACACCCAGAAAGTGAGAACAGTTCTCCAGAATATACATGTTCTCTTGTCCAAATAAACCTTTCTCTTCTCAAAGTTTACAATTCTTTGTGCACGCTATTTTCTGAACAATTTTTCCAAATGATCCTACTGTAATGCAAAGTGGTGGGGACATGTCCCCAGTATAAATGACGTGGGGACCGTATACAAACCTTACTCACTTTTTAAAGAAGCTGGCTCATTATTTAGTTTGTGAATATGGATTGTTTTTAAATTGTATGCACTATGCACATTGATGGACCATCTATCCTATCGGCTTGTTTTATTAAATCAATTAATGCTGCCTAAAACCTGCCAAAACTAAAAACACAAGTGGTGTGAAAACAGCACCGACACATCATCACCTTTGATTGGATTTTATCAAGTTTTATCAACATCCAGCTGTTACCGAGCAACATGATTTATCAAGAGTCTTATGCTTGCGTCACTTAATAAATGTAAGCCCATTATAACTCTTCTAAAAGATATCTGCTGAATGCTCCACTCTGTCCACCCTCTAGACTTCAACTAGCCCATTTGTCTGCTGTTTGCTTCTGAACAGTGGACAGTGTCTCTACAGCTTTTTCTCTGAAAATGACACACCAGAAAAGTAAAGATGTGGATGGAAGAGAAAAACCATGAGGGGAAAGTCACTACAAAGCCAAGAGGAGCTGCAGATTCTGCTGATCATTCTGTGGAAGTTCTTCACTACAAGATACAAAAAACACAGAAGAAACAATTTACCACTTCCGGTTTCCTCGTCTTGAAGTCAACGTTATTTGTTGTTTTTTTGCTAAAATAAAAATTGTTTTAAAAAAATGTTATAATAAATAAAATAAAAATAAATAAATAAATAAATATAAAATTAAATTAATAAAAAAAAAATAAAAATTGTAAAATAAAAAGAGATTTACAAGTTTTTTACTACGACAAAATAATGCATCAGTAAATACCGCACTGATGAATGTCTGAAGCAACTATGTGTCATAAAAACGTAGGTTGCTAACAAGTGTCTAAACGAGACTACTAAAAATCATCACATCGAAGCAGTCTGCGTGATCGGCCTAGGGAGGGACGGCCCTGTTTGTCAGCCAGGTCTGAACACCTACACAACAGTTATTAGACCACTTACTAGAACTGTGTAGGCGTGTGAGTCTCCTATAAAATCTTTAGGAGGACTAATTACTCCTATCATTCTTATAGGAAGTGAACATCATTAAGTCCCATCAAATGTCTAATCATCCAGAATACATGAAACACCTGTGTGGGTGTTCAGAGGCTGCCATGTAACATCCTTTTTCTCCTGGCTCTCTGTGTTGACAGTTCAGCTAGATTTGTGATTTGATTGATAAATGGTGCGTACGCACAAAAGATGGCGTACGCCAGTTTCTAAGCAATCTTTGCGATTTATAAAAAACTAACTTCACGTCAAAATGTGCGGTCCTCCACGCAAACACTAACTCATCCGTACACGGTACGCACAAAAACGGGAGAGACGAGAAACTGCGACACCGTTGGCAGAAGGAAGAATGGAGAGAAATATGTGGAAATAATACCATCAATAAAATGTTACCTCATTTATCATATATGAAGAATTCATTTTCAAACATTGATTAAAGCTAATCTTAAAATGATTAAACAAACGCCTGTTTGAGACTCCTCAGTGCACACAAACACATAACTTGGAGAAATAAATATGGAAATGTTATTGATCACCCCTCGATTATGTTCTCTTGTTAAGAAATGTTTTCTCATAAATGATGCGGTAAGCAGGAGGACAGAATTACGTCTAAACTGACGCCGTTTTGCATTTCTATAGTTTGTAGATACGAGCATGGTTTTATATACTATCACGTTTAATCGTGTTTTATGCCGTTTGCCAAGACTTGATAAGTCGCTCGTAAAACACAGGAGGTACGGAAACTAAGAACATCATATGTGGTAAATTGTACAGCTAATATAACACAACACATTAGTTGTATTTCCTTTAACTGGTGGATATAGAGTTGGGGGGGGGGTGAAATGCACAGGCTGCAGTGGACAAGCTGCGCACAGCTGATCGACAGCTGGGACACAAACCACCAAATACAAAAACATAATTCAGATCCAGTTGTCATGACTCCACACCGGGGGGGATTCCCCGATAATTTCTTAGTTTCTCATCAAGGGGGTGTCTCCTGTCCCCGGTACAAACACACTGCCTGAGGAAGGCTATGTGTATTTTTTTTCTTTTTTCGGACCACTTATTTATTTATTTTGGTGACGATCCGACCTCCATGCTGCTACTCTGGTTCAAACTGCATCCACCAAACAATATGATTGATCTCGACCTCCCCAAAATAACCTAAATCTGACACGGTGTGAGA